GTTGATCGTAATGTCATTCATTCTAAAATGTTACTGATGATTATATCTAGCATTTCTGCAACTTTGATTTTTTTAAAAGAAATTTTTGTTTTGACCCCAGCCTCCTAAATCGACCACTTTAAAATTTCACTTGATGACTGTGTATTCTACTAAAAAAGCTATTTGGAATGAAAGCCCTTCTTGGCCCGAAATTGATGCCATCGAAATATTTACTTGTTTGCAACGCCATTGTGGTAAGTCTTAGTTTTTGAATTATATGCATTCGTGGTCATAATTTGCCAAATGTTAGTTTTGATATATCAGTTCATTAGTGAAAAAAGTTATTCTTATCTCATTTACATTCTATATCAATAAAAGAAACAAGATAAGAGAGAATGTCAAATTGACGAATCACCTAAATAGGCATGTATATAAGAAATTTTCGATGGCATATACCGGAATTCAGTTTCTTTGGGTAATTTAAAAAAATTCGAAAATATGTTTTCCAATACTCTGAAATTACTAATTTTCGTGGTGGTTTAATTTTTGTTGTTTTCGAAGTAAGGAGAGACCCACGAACTCATGACCACCACGAAATGCATTATTACTCAACACTTCGCCAAACACGAAATCAAATCCCCACATACCAATTTTTTCTCAAACCTCGAAAACTTGCCCCCATGAAAATATTTGATTTCACGGTATGCAGAAATATAAGAGAAACAATCATTTACGAACATTTAAAGATAGCAACTTTAAGAATATTGATAAAAATTCTAACACCGTGGAATCATTCAATTTTGTAAATGTTTGAAAATGTAGCTCTGTAGTCATCTCATCTACCTATTCAGACCAATAAGCTAAGGACCTCTTTTGTTGGGTCTCTATGAAAGACGTCTAGTCACATCAATTTTGCAGGTCAGTGGGTCTACCAGAGTACACGTTACTGCAAGATCAACAGCAGTTAGAGGTGTTGTATTCATGCAGTATATAATATGTGGTTCCCTAAAACACTTAAATTGATCTAGCAGCTTCCTCAAAGAAGCAATACTTTCTAGACTCAGTGCCTTCCGTTGGAACGCCTCGTAAAACAAAAAGATTTCCTCGATAGCTCTGTCAATGTCAACATTCGTTCGGGTAGCGATGACGTAATTCATCCGGGTTCCGATTTTGTACACCTGCGCATTCCATTGTGGAATCCTTTCACTAGTCTTCTGGTAGATATATCTGATAGAGGTTAAATCTGTGGACGGAATAGTCCGATCATCCTCCACTGTTATTGAGAATGATGGAGTATAAGTCTGTAGAATGGCTCTGTTACCTATGTAAAAAGTGTTAAAGCAATATTATTATATTAATTCGTGCAATGTTTGAAAGTTAGATAAAAATATACGGGTAAACATATTAATTAAAGTTTTTTTGTCCTTAAAGAAATAATCGACATTTTGATTTTACTTATCCCTTAACTAAACAAATAAGGAAATAAAAGTAAACAAATTTGCTTAATTTAATATACATGTACGCCATATATACATGCTTTCAAAGCAAACCGATTAACATAGCAGAACATGTTATATTAACGTACAAATCTTTTTATATCAATGAACAAGAAGAAAAACTTTGCAATTCACCCTAAAAAGCTTTGCAAAGCAATGTCAGGAAAGTGTTTTAGACGTATAGAATAGTTGCAGAACAGAGGAAAACACTTTGAGGATGTTACAACAAAGATCATCCGGTTATACTAGACGCAGCATGAGCTCTTGTTCCAAAACTAAGCTTAAAAGTATTAGTTTGGCAGTTAACAAAACAACAGTGGTCACCTGATTTTTTTGGAAAGGAAAATTGCCGTTACCATCAACCAAACAAAAAAGTTAGGGAGCGGAACGTTTGCGCTGCTGCCATCTGTTTGATCAACAGAACCAACGATAAAATAGATGAGGAGGAAAATATTTTGTATCTCTCTTTCTGAACAAGAAGAAAAACTTTGCAATTCACCCTTTTGCAAAGCAATCAGGAAAGTGTTTTCGAATAGAATAGTTGCAGAACAGAGGAAAACACTTTGAGGATGTTACAACAAAGATCATCCGGTTATACTAGACGCAGCATGAGCTCTTGTTCCAAAACTAAGCTTAAAAGTATTAGTTTGGCAGTTAACAAAACAACAGTGGTCACCTCCCGAAAATTACAAAATAGATAAGATATTATTATAAAATAAGTTTATCAATGTGTATTTCAGATTGATGATTTGTATAAGCAGGGAAAAAATAAGAAATAAGTATCTGTTATAGTTTTATTCTGATCATAAGTTTATGCATAATCATAACTTAAAATTAAATTGAAAATTATATATGTAAACTGCAATCATAAAAAGCATGCTTATAATCATGTTTGAAAATTTCTTACCACGACCTGAAAAAATGAAAATCTATAGTTTTGTACCTTGCTTAAAAAGAAATTTGCTTTAAGAATCAAATTATTATTATCCTTCTTTTCCCTTCATATCAAAGTTTGTCTTATAATGTAAAATTTTATAATATAATGTAATAATATTCCAAAAGAAATTTAAATTGTTAAAATCCAGACAATCCCAGCATACACTGTGGTGCAAATTTGCAAAAATCGACTTTTTTCCCCCCAATTTATTAATCTCTTTGAGGGTAATATCATATAAGGGATCGGGAAACTCTAGAGCTCTATAGACATTCTCCTAAGAGTGTTAATTCTATAATTGTAGTTTTATACAGTTAAAGTTTCTGCCGTTTTTGTGGAATATGGAATTACCACTGAGGCAGAGTTATACAAACGGAAAATACTAGTAACAAAAATTGAAACAAATTAAATACGATGAAGAGAAAGTAATCGAAATCTTCATTTGCATGTTTTTCTCATTGCAAATAAACGAAAATAATTTTGTTTACTTATACATGCACCAATTAAATGAGTATCTTTTATTTTTCTTGGAGAAATAATACAGGTTCCTATGCTGAAAACGACTTAAATATTCTCAATATGCACACCTTAAAAATGCAATTTTCTGAAAGTAAAAAAAACAACAACACTTTTTTATTACTGTTTAGAGCTTCTGTGATCAGAGAAGAGTACTCACATTTTCCTCGAAGTTCCAGTTCGATTGGATAATGATCACTAACATCTAGTGCCTGTTAAAATGTTAATATATACATGAATGTCAAACAAAGTAATGGTAACTGCGGGATTGAGGTCTATCAAAATCTTTACAGGGAGGACCAGAAAGGAGAAAGGAGAAAAAACACTTGAAATATTTTGAAAACATTGAGATAAGATAAGGTACTAACCACTTCCTTGGTCAGAAGATGTTCACTTTCGAAATGGAAAACCTGGACACTTTCTGGTATAATGTCGGGCCACGTATTCTCTTTTATGATAAATCTGTATCAAAACGTTAAACCATTTTGTAGATCTTAGTTTGAAGGGAATACAACAATGGCTATAATTTTACTTGTGTGATGAGGACGAGTGTCTAACTACCCCTCTATTTAAATAAGGATGACGACCTTGAAGCATATAAAAGTTTCAATCCAAAATTGCAGTGTTGACGGTTATAAGGATATTGAATGAGTTTTATGTTCTCCAGTGTAATTTTACAAGTTCACTGAAGCTAGTTTTTGTACACACCTATAACCTTATGTTTACCACATCACATCCATATTAAAGTACTAGTAACACAAAGTTTGATGGATGAATTTGTCATTTATTATACATGTATAAATGACGAAGGGTTTCATCAAATGAGGATAAAGATCTTTACATTAATAGAGTTATCAACTGAAGAGGACAATCTTAATGAGAACAAGGATTTCAAGTGTGAACAAGGGAGAATGGCAATTCTTTTATGAATAGAGACAAGACGTATCTGCAGAGGACGGCAATATTGAGAGAGACTAAGGATAACACTTTTTTGCGGTCACAAGGATATCGAATGAAGACCTATTAAAATCTTAGTTTCTGAGGACACCAATTTTACCTAACATAAAGATATCAATTTTAGACAATGGAAGACAACAATTTTGTTGTGTAATAAAGATATCCAGAAAAGATATCAACTTGGGTCAAAATCAGTCGTACAAAAAATGCAAACTGAGGATGATAATCTAGCAGGTCAAAATGTTATTAACTGAGGACAATATAATCAAGTCAGACAAGGAGATATATGAGGGCTATACTCCTGTCAACAATAAGGACACAAAATGAGATTGATAATCATAAAAATATCAACTGAGTACGATAATTTTGGCAGTAATATTGATATAGAAAAAGAACAAAAGAACAATGATCTTTATTAGAGTGATGTCAACTGAGGACAATAGTTTTGTCGTACATAAAGCTATCGAGTGTCTGCATGAACTGAGGACAAAAGTCCTTTTGTTTATAAGGAAATTAACTGAGGACATCGATCCTTTTTTTTAATAAGGATATCAACTGAACATAACAATCCTTTAGTTTATAAGATAATCAACTGAGGACATCGATCCTTTGGTTTATAAGGATATCAACTGAGGACTACAATTCTTTTGTTTATGAGGATATCAACTGAGGACATAAATCCTTTTGTTTATAAGGATATCAACTAAGGTAACAATCATTTCAACAATATGGATATTAATAGAAGTTAAATCTCTCACCGGTCATAAGCACAGTTAGTACCGCTAACTGTTGTATCTTGATAATCATCTATCAGCCATTTATATGAGGTGTCATTGCGAATGGAGAGCTCCTTCATCTTGGTACGGCTTAAATAGGAGCAATCTGCATTCAGGTCTCCAGCGATCAGGATGTGCTGTAATAGACATTTTGAATGAAGCATATGTAAATGAGTCAATTTACAATGAAAAAATTACTAGTATATGAAATTCCAAAAAAATAAAAATTACGAGAAGAAACAGATTTATTTGTTTGAAGTTACAGATAAACCTACTCACTGGAGTTTTAAATCTTCGTTCCACCTCGGCATACACAACACTTAAAGCGTTGATTTCAATGAAGGCGTCTTCGGGACTAGCGTGTAGTCCAATTATGGCAAATTCGTGCATAGTATCTAAAATAATCATGTATTTTTCTCATTGAAATAATTATTTAGTAATTTATAATTTTGCAACAACAAAAAAACCCATCAAAATTGCAGCTCATATTGCTTTTAACGATTGAATACTAGTATTTATTAATATATATTAATTCGACCTGAATGCGCATACCTAAAACATCAGAGTGAAATTTGACCGCATAAGGTGGTCGCTGGAATAAATCTAAAGGGTCGTCATATTGGTATACATCTACTTTATTAACATACTTCTTCCTGAAATAAAAATAAAGAACGTTTTATATGTGTATTCATTACCGATAAAATGATTTATATGCACTTATTCAAGCTTCTTCCAAGATTGAGAGGGGGTCTTGTAAAGTAAACGTAGTGGGAGAAAAAAAAAGAAAGAAGGGAAAAAAGGGGTGAGTAGCGAGCAGGGAGAGATGGTAAGATATGAATGTGAAGGAGAATAGTCCTCTTCAAACCGACATATTTGCTAAAACTTTGGGAAAAAAAAATCATTTAATCGTTAGAAGTATGACTTGAATTGGTATTCAAATTTTTATTTGAAGAATATTGATATAAAAAGATCAAATACCAGTATTTTATCAGAAGTCAAGTTCGAATTTTCAAATTCAGAGGTCACAATTTTGTTTTAAAAATTGCCATTGGTCATCATACACTAGCAAACTAAACCAGTTCATTATATGTAGAAAATATCGAGAAAATACTGTTGTTTTCATAAAAATCTTCTAAACCTCTTCAGACTTGCCTCGGGTTTGTTCAGATCTATACAGACGGTTTATAAATGTCTACACATCCCTGATTAGTCTGTAACAAATAAGAATGTCATGCCCACCTTATGATGCAGTTTATTTCAGTAAATAGTCCGGGTCGTTACGTACCTGTATAGGAAGGCATACTGTTCCTTGCTGGTTGACCTACCAAGGCGTGCGCTGACCACTAAACTGAACGGCTCATCCGACCTCCTAAAACAGATAGTGATACTTGGGATGAAATCAATGCCTTCAAAGGTTCAGTTCCCATCAAAAGGAGGAAGATGCAAGTTAAAATAGGACTGATTTTGATTACTCTCATTGTAATGTACATTTGTTTGTTGAAGTCTCTTGAATTTTTTTTCCACTAAAATAGGCGTCACCACTTGTCGGTGGATGGATTCATTTAGCCCTATATTCGGCACTCGCAGTCTTTGAGCTTTGAGGAATCTTTATTGTGGCAACACCAACTGCAACAATTAATAAGGTCTCCTCCGAAGGTGAATGTATGAGCCTATGGTAGTCTTACAGTATACAGTACTTGCTGTAAAACCACCATTTCTCTCACCCTGCAATATCTATACATCTATACAGTTTGCGATAATGTACAGAATATTAAATCCATTGACCTATTATAATGGAATGTGAATTAAATTTGTCTTTGATGTGGTGGGTTTTAAATTTTGTTGCTGTTTTCAAATTTTGTATATTTGATGTTTTGCAGATGAAAATTACACTACAAAAAAATGAATTACTATATTTCGAAATAAGCCACACTGGAGTAAAGGGTAACAGACATTTTATGTCAGGAAATCACGCAATCGATGTTGTGGTTGCATGGCTCAGTAAAAGAGAAAAGAGGCAGATTTACACGAGATGATAAAAGTAAAACAGAGGTTAAAAAAATCGTAAATATTTTTCATTGCGACTGTATGTAATGCATGTAGCTAAATATGAAAATATTCTCTGGAATTAATCTTCAGTTCCTTTTGAAACCATACTGAGTTTGGTAATATATCATTTACAAAATGAATTTGAGTAACTTGAAAGTTCAAAGATAAAAATTTCAATCCGTTTTGATGAATCAACAAAATGATTGAATGTACATTTATTGGCCGATATTGAATACGAATAAACTGTCCTTCAAATAGATAAGGAGGAATTTGTTTCTGGAGTGTAAATATATAAACTTGAAACGCTTTGACCAAAGTCAACAAATTTTGTGAATACCTTCAATCTTACAGATAACTTACGTTTCGTTGTTTAGCTTCTCTACCAGTTTATAGATGTAGGTTTCAGACGAATCCCTAATCTCTTGAACCAAAACGATATCATATCGTGATAAAATCTTGAAAAGGAAAAGCACGATTTAACACAGGCCATAGATATATAAAGCTGCAATAAAACGTTATACAGTCTGATTACTATACATTCTATACAGAATTTTTAATTAAAAAAATCTCTCAAAGAGGACTGCAAGCTGCTTTGACATTTAAAGTTCAAAAATTTACCGATAGATGTCTTCGACTCTCGCTCACATTTCCCAGTAAAAGAAATATGCTGATATTAATAAATGTTACTTGTATTTATATATTTAAACCATGATTTTATAAAAATGTCTATACCTTAACAAGTTCCTTGGCTACCTCCGGCTTTTCAAACTTGGTCTCTCCAAAAATTTGGATATTGAAAGCTCCTATTCTAATGGGATCTTGATCCTTAAAACTGTTCAGTTCCGAAATATCCCCCTGTACAGCCAGCAGCCCACAGCAAAACAGCAGAAAAGTGGCCTTCCTCATGCTTCTTGTGACCCTATAGACTGAATGTGTAATAGTCCACGTATATTTTATCAGTCACAACCGCTGACCCGTTAATAACCCGCGTGTTTACTTTCTATTGCTTATTCATTCTGTGTATTGAAAGCGGAACATATCACGGTTCATTGTATTTTTAAAAGATTTAAACGTTTAAATTCAGAGTCAATAGATGTACATATATTTATATTTTATAAATAGAATACACAATTTATTTTAACTTAGATACTCTCAGTAAAGCTTACAATTTATTACGACCCATTTCACTAATCATCAAATTACATAGAAATAATTAAGCAATTGTTTGTAAATACATAATAAAATACATCTATGTTAATCATGATATCAAATGTGTGCAAAACGGGAACACATCATATCAATAGTTTAAAGAGAAACATTTTTTTATTTCACTTTAGTTTTTATTAGCTTTTTGGTAAGATTGCTAAACTTGTACACAGGGAAAGGTGGCTTATACGAAATTCGTGTGATATTATTTTTATTTAAAAATTGTTCGAAAATCACCTAAAAATCATAATTATAATAATTATTATAATTATTTATGAATATTTTTTAAATATTCTTAATGCGAATATCATGTTTACGATATCTAAAAAAAAATTAGAACTCGTTTGTTTCTATATTTTTCTTTGCAAGATATTTGATATATGTGATATGCTTTTCATTTCATCTGAAATTTATGTCCACATGTTCTGTTTTTCGTTTGAATTTCTCATGCTAAGAATTCACATGGAATTCTTTTGAATTTATATGAAATTTATGCGAGCCACTTTTGCCATGCTTTAATGTTTTTTTTCTGATTTAGGACAAAATAACATTGATATCGAATTATTAATTTATAATACCATTGAAAATGCAAAGTTTACATATGGAGGAAAAGGGAGATAAATGTTAAAATAGATATTCTTAGAGACCTACTTTGACCTGTCATCGGTTTCACAAGAGTAAAGACTACACTGTAACGTGCGATTAATGATGCATAAATTTTTTCAAACATCAAACTAAACATGTAAAGTATATGATGAACAATCATTTGTCAAATGAAAGTAGAAGTCAAATATATATATCTAGGTACTAGACAGATATTTTAATAATAATATGTCATATTCACAAATATATGATTATTTTTAAAATTAATAAATGATCAATATTTCTACCTACTGTTATCTATGTATCCTGATTATTTTGTCATGTCCCCATCTTGTAGACCTGTCGGGGATCCCGGAATACATGAAATCCTCGCCATCAAACCGGAGGGCCCCCTTAATACTTCCTGCTTAATCCAACAAAGACCATAATACCTCGATGTTATTTATAAACTGACGTTTAAAAAGGGCCTTTACAAAGGCATTAACCAGATACTATAGTGTTTGTTACGGAAATAAGTGCGTATAGTCTTATTAGTCTTTTAGCAATATATAATGTAATGATGTGGAATCTGTCGACAAATATAAAGTTATTGTCGAACCAGATAAGTGATTTATTCAGACATACACGGAAGTAAAAGTTCATTTCATGTAAAACAAAGCAAACAAGTACTGTGAGCAATGAGTTTACTAAATCATACTTTAACATCCCACCTCCACCGCACTCCCGCCTCCAATATTGATTATTATGGCAAAGTCCATGTTTTGCTCCGGAAGACCCGAAATACTAGTAAGTGTCAATCAAAAAGTAAAATCGGAGGTGCACAATAGCATTATGTAATAAAGAATCTGTGAAAGTATCTTTAAATCTTATACAGTGGTACAGGGGGGTTGCAGATAAGAGATGGGCACTCTTCAATACTCTATACTATAGAAAGAATGGCATGCCCATGCATGTTTTGCTACAAGAAACCCAAAGTATGTGTCGGATCAAAAAATGTGCACAATGCCACTAAATGCCACAGCATTTATTAAAGATACTTTGTATGCCTCATTAAATTTCATTCAGTGGTTCTGGTGTTAGATCGGGGCACTATTGATTATATAGTGAAAATACATTTATTCAGTTCTTCGAAAATCCTCTTCTCTGCTCCTGGGTATTAACTAAACTAAGTACATAGTTATGATGAGTAAGAGTGCCTCTTCCAAAATTGTGAATTTCATGGCCCCAGGGTCAGGGGATCTGGTGTAAGGGAGGGGCTCTATTGAATATAGTGAAAATGCATTAATTCTTTGAAAGTCTTTTCCATTGCTCTTGGGTATTAAATAAACTAACTATGTACATAGTTATGATGAGCAAGAGTGCCTCTTCCAAAATTGTGAATTTTATGGCCCCAGGGTCAGGGGTTCTGGTGTTAGGAAGGGGCTCTATTGATTACTAGTATATAGTAAAAATGCATTAATTCTTTGAAAATTCTCTTCTCTGCTCCTGGGTATTAAGTAGACTAACTTAGTATAAAGTTATAATGCCTCAGCCAAATTTATGAATTTCATGGCCTCTGTGTCAGGGGTTTTGCAATTTGGTGTAAGGGGAGGGGGCCTCTTTTGATTATTGAGCGAAAATACATTGATTCTTTGAAAATGTTTTCCATTGCTCCTGGGTGTTATGCTAATGATCCAGGTATATATATATATTTATGATGAAGAAAGGTGCATTATGAAATTCATGGCCCCAGGGTCAGGTGTTCTAGTGCTAGGGCGGAGCTATATAGATTTTATAGTGAAAAATGCATTATTTCTTTGAAAATCTTCTTCTCTGCTCCTGGGTATTAAATAAACTAAGTGCATGGTTATGCTAAATAAGGCTGCTTCTTCCAAAATTGTGAATTTTATGGCCCCAGGGTCAATGGTTCTGGTGTTAGGGCGGGGCTCTATTGATTATATAGTGAAAATGCATTAATTCTTCGAAAATTCTCTTCTCTGCTCCTGGGTATTAAATAAATTAACTATGTACATAGTTATAATGAGCAAGAGTGCCTCTTCCAAAATTGTGAATTTTATGGCCCCAGGGTCAGGGGTTCTGGTGTTAGGGCGGGACTATATATTGATTATATAGTGAAAATGCATTAATTCTTTCATAATCTTCTTCTCTGCTCCTGGGTATTAAGTAAACTAACTTAGTATAAAGATATAATGCCTCAACCAAATTTGTGAATTTCATGGCCCCTTTGTCAGGGGTTTTGCCATTTGGTGTAAGGGGAGGGAGCTCTTTTGATTATATAGTGAAAATACATTAATTCTTTGAAAATCTTTTCCATTGCTCCTGGGTGTTATGCTAATGATCCAGGTATATATATTTATGATGAAGAAAGGTGCATCTAGCAAAATGGTTAATTTCATGCCCCCTGGGTCAGAGGTATCGGAGGGGGGAGGGTTACATAGTCTGAAAATAAATATTCTTACTCTGTGTTTGTATCTTTATTGTACCCCACCTTGAAAAGTGGGAGGGTATAGATAGTGATCGGGATGTTCGTCCGTCTTTTAGTCTGTCCGTCTGTCACGCTTTGAGGTACATGTGCACATCTCGTATGTGCATCTCCTCCTATACCTCTGAATGAAATGTAATGAGACTTTCAGAGAATCTTTAGTAAATAATGTCGTTGTGCACATTCTAATTTTCTTTTTGATGCGACACATATTTTGGGCTCCCCTTCACAAAACATGGACACTGCAATTTTTTAATACAATAATGTAGGATGTGTATTTCTTATCCGCAACTTTTCCTAAACCAATGAATGAAAGTTAATGAGGTTTTCACAGAATCTTTATTATATGCCATTGTGACCTCCTATATGTATTTTACTTTTTGATCTGATTCCAAGACCAACTCTGTCATTGTAAACATATGGGAGGTGGGGAGTATCATTTAGTGAAATTTTCAGGCAACAGTTAAAATCAAGAGGTATTTCTGCAAAATAAAGAATCAAAAAAAATATATTTCATCATTTATTCAAAAGTTTATAGTAATGAAATATAAAATGTCAATATAAACGAAAACAACAAAATAATAAAAACATAATCGAAATTCAAATGAACTACTAGTACATGTATTATGCATACTCTCACTATAAAGTCAATCTCACTTGTTCATAATGCCCATTGTTAAAAAAAATATATGTATATATCTTTGAAAAACATAATGAAAATGGTAAAACTGTTGAGATAGAAGTACCGATGTACCTTTCGTTGCGACGTAATCAAAACTAAGTCCTTTGTTTTCATTCATGAGGATGAAAAACTCTCGTTTCCGCATGCAGTAATTTGTGGGTACCTGCCCCGCTGGATTTCACTTAATGATTGTCCTTTAAAAAAAAAAAAAAGATTAAACAACGGCAGATTTTTTCAGGTTTTCGTCAGAGTCTGTTATTTTCGCGGAATTTGTGGGACTTCTGAGATGACGCCAAATCAAGCTGAAAACTTTAGCACCAAGACACAACAGGGCAATAACAATCATGACGATCGTCATAATGGAATTTCTGGAACCAGCTTTGTAGTTCTTAGATAAACTGGCTCCAAGTGCAAGAGGGACTACAACCCAAGGTGTTACGGTGTAACGGGTGTACCGATCTAGGAAGGCAATGTCTACAACGGTGTAGGCCAAGACTTCAACCACCAAGATGGACAGTGCAACAGTGCCTGCGTCATCAATATCCACTCCGGGGTTTCCTTTGTAGATCATTACCATCGCCATGTTCAGAAGAGTGGCAATGGTTGTCCAGGCCGCGTAGACACTAAGTCCGTTCTGAACCATGATGCGGATGCACCAGATGTCGAAATTTCTACCATCTTTTCTTAAAAAATCGACGTGTTTATCAAGATGTCGATAGGAAATGAACAAACACACATACAAAGTGAAAGCTATGAAAAACAGGACAGCGAATGAAAGGATGATTTCTTCTCTGTCAAATAGAAGAATCCAGGACAGGTTGAGACACATGTTGATGATGAAAGTGACGAAAAATGTCCAGGGCAGGAGGATCGGGTTGCAGTAGAGAGGGCCATTATCTGTTTTCCGAAACAAATTGACAATGGTGTAAACAATCCACACTGCCTCCCAAATATAGATCACACCCCAGATACTGAACATCCATCCGGCCGGGGTTATGTTTATCTTGTACTTATCCGAAATAGTCCCTGTGCTGCTCTTAAATATTCCTGTAAAAGGAGAGCAAAAATTTTTAAAGATTTTTTTTTTTTTTTTTTTTTTTACACATTTTGATTCATAATATGGTTTTTCAATTACCTGAGGGATCGAAAGAAATGTATGTAAACCTAAGTATATACCTAGTTTTTGTCCGGTTTCTCCTGACAGGGCGTTGAATATGGTGGCCACTGCATACACGACCGGATTGATGACAGTTAGGACTATAAGAGGTATGTTGTGAGCCATGCTGTACTGTAAAATAACAAAAAGGCCCTTTAGATTATAACATCCATCAAGTCGCAAAAAATTATAATTTTAAGGCGTTCAATGCAATAGATATATTAAAAAATTAAGGATATTAAGGAATCTTAAAACAGGAACAATTAAATTCAGTACAGTTATTGTATTTAACTTACGTGATTTATCGTTATTTCCACTTTCTACTATGATGTCCTGTCCGTTAAATCGTCAATGTTGTAATGAAGTGCGTACACATGGGCAAACGCATGTTTATATAAACTTGAGGGTTACACAACCATAAGTTGTTGTACTGTTATGGTATGGTAACCCGTACGCGATAAAAGCATGTAAAATTTGTCCTCTCTTCCGTTTATTTCAGTAATTATGACGTCAATATATTTTAATATTAAGATATTTAAAAGTTTTTTGTAACTCTGTATAGGGATATTTAACTTAAGAATACAATATGAGAACATAAAAAGGGAGTACTGGCATTTTTATGTATTTTATACCCGTATATTTACCTATATTTTATTAAACCACATGTTTCACCGCGTGATCGATTATAGAGGCGACACCAACTGACCGCGGCGATTTTTTTCCTTTCAAAATCGATCATCTGTAAAAGAATGTGTCAGTGGGAAAAAATGATGAATAAAGGAAAAATATCCCCAGGAAAGGTTGAATGTTTACTTCATGCACCAAAACACAGCAATAAATGATTGCTAACTGTACATTGTGTTAAAACTGAGATGTACATCAAAGACATATTCAGAAGATTAGATTATAATGTATTTTTCATCCAAATCAACGTAAACTAAATCCCAAGTGATTTTTTTTCTTCCGGTAATTGAAATATACACTTGTATATTTATTTTGTTAACCTAAAAGTTTTGAGAAAAAAATGTGAAATGAAAGAAATTACAGGTAATTTGTTTAAGAGAACATGGAGAATGCAATGCATAAATTTCGAAGAGTCTTTGTATATTAAAATATACCAAATTTTTAAATACTAGTAAATAATAGTATTCATTTGTTTCTGGAAATAAATTTATTGGTATTTAAATGAATCACAGATGAAAAAAGGTGTAAATTAATCAAGTACACATTCACAAAAAGTTTTAAAATCATGTACTGATCAATACACCCTCCTTCCAATAAAATTTATGATTAAAATCTTAAAATTCTCTAAACATAAATACATAATTTTATTTTATTTGTGTATTACTAAAGTAAAAACATTTACAAACCAGGACACAGATACTTATAGTATTCATGACGTATTTATTTAAGGACACGTGTACCCAAAGCACTGCCCTTCATACTTACAGACTGAATTAAGGCATGGATGTCAGTATACACAAAACGCTTTCATAACAGAAATAGATGAATTATTGTTCAAAGTGAATTGTAGGGAGGATTGTCCAACATTTTATGTTCAGACCAATTTTTAGGACTCGGTTTATTTCGGCATATGTCTTTATAAAGACTTCTCTTTGATAACCAGTCTCACATCATTGGTTCATTGAGCCATGATATCTTTGTGACGAGATAAACTGGAGATCGTTTCTATCAAATTCTATGCCAGTTAACAGCATCACTGTTTCTTTAACAATTACTTTGCCATGTAATAATTGTTTTCTTACTTGTTATTGCAACTTTTAATTTTTTGAAATAAGACATACGAATCAACGCGGGCAATTCACCCAGACTTTGGAATGTAACAATCATAGGATTTACATTGAATGAGAAGAAACAGTAAAAAATGATCATGGTCTTTAAAAATCTCAATGTTACTGGATAGCTTTACAGTTGACAAATTTTAAATTCCCTCATATCATTTTTTTTTTCTCGGAGGAATACTTTAAGGTGTGTCCAAAAGTGCATACAAACTCGAAGATGAATTCACAATAAATAATAATGAGGACATTCGTGGTATGCGTAAACTGCTTGAGGAAATAAGGCACTGTTATAGTATGTGCAGGAAATCAACATATTATACCAGTTTGTAAAAGGTCAAGAATGAGACTAGCGTCAGCAAGATAGCTATAGGATATGACATGCACTACAAAGTGTATGGAACTGTAATAAAAAACTGAACTGAATTGACCATAGCTCTAAAGTTTAACAAAACGAAAAAAAGACTATAAAAAAAGATACCGGTATAACCCTTTCTGGGTGGCACAGAAATAAGGAATAGAATGTTTGTAATGATAGTGAACACTGCTGTAAGCTCTGCCTGAGCTCTCTTAATAATGACCCCGCCTCCTATTTGATTATATTGTTAGAATACGTTTTCCTAAATTAGCTTTGTTAGACTCGAAATAAGTGTCAGATCAAAAAGTAAAAAAGGAGGTGCACAATGGCATTATGTAATAAAGAATCTGTGAATGTATCATTAAAATTTATTCAGTGGTATAGGAGGAGTTGCGGATTAGAGATGGTCACACAGAAAGAATGACAGTATTCAGCCATGCATGGGAAACCCAAACTATGACTCCAATCAGAAAGTAAAATAGAAAGTGTACAATGGCACTATGTAACAAGGAATCTGTGAAAGTCTCATCAAATTTCATTCACTGGTATAAGATGAGTTGCGGATAAGAGATGGGTACACCAAAGCGTAACAAACGGACAGACAGACGTACATCCCGATCTATATATATCTGTGTCTGTTTTACTCAGATTATATATCTTTTTTCTGACCTTGTTTTATTAAATTCAAAGAAATGTGCCGAATTAAAATTTCGCTCTTGTTAAAAAACGAAGACAGCTCCCGTCCTCTCCCCGATACTATGTTCAAGAAATATGAGTTTAGAATTAAGAGTCGGTCCAAAATTTGTAAGATACATACATGAATTGTATGCGCACTTAATTAAAATATATTTATATGAGGGTTTTTGTAAAGGATCAAATCGATATTTTTTTTTTGGTGAAATTCAATAACCTTGCGAACACAATTCGTATACAAACGCATCTGAGCTTTCAGCGTACAGAGAATGAACAGACCTGTATGAACTTCGGAAGAGTTCACATTTCGGCCAATGGTTCACTGAAAATGCCTTTCATAAAATAACCCACAAGATTTAAGTCAATATTTAATTTGTTTTAAACCAACTGTATTGTATACTTTTTGGACACTTTAAATTCGTTTTTATTACTCAAATAAGTATGGACATGTAGGCTTCTTCAGTTATCAAATAAATGCCTTGCGTTCACCTTGACTACCGTATATGCAAAAATGCAACAGTCTGGCTTATATCATTCAGAATTGAAACAATTAAAAAACGCTCTCAATATCTGTTTTCTTTTTTATCTGGATACATGAACAAAGATATTATTTTTTAAAAGCATTTTATTCTTCCAAAATATGATAACATAAACGTATATAAAAATATATATATACATAAAAATAAAATCATTATGCACCTCCTCTTATGGACAACAGCTACCATTAAGTATCTCCTTGTGTCATAACAAAGATTGTCTTTAAAAAAATGTTAAATACAAGATTTTAAATTAAAGGATGGATGTTCGCATAATTTTCGAAATGGAAGGACAAACGCTGACTAAAAATGAGCAAAATGGCATCGACTACTATACATTTGTACTAAATTATCGGTAAACCGACCACAATAATTCACTTCGTTGTCCGTCGGAAATACCAAGGCTACAATACCATCGCATGAAAAATCTGTAGAATTTCAGTTTATACAACATTTGATTTCTTTTTCTTCAAGTCGTCATATGACTCTGTTATTAACCCCGATTTAGTGGTACTTCTGAGTTCGCGCCAAAACAAAGTAAAGATTTTGGCGACAAGACATACCACAGCCAGTGAAATCATGACAATCGTCAAAATGGAATTTCTGGAACCAGCTTTGTAGTTTTTGGCTAAACTGGCTCCAAGTGCAATGGGGACCACAAACCAAGGTGTAACAGTATACCGTGTATAGCGATCTAGAAAGACAATGTCTACAAATGTGTATCCCAAAAGTTCAACCGCCAAGATAGCGAGGGCAACAGTGCTTGCATCTTCATTAGCAATACGTGGATTTCCTTCATAGATCATCACTATCGCCATGTTAAGGAGGGTGGCAATGGTGGTCCAAGTGGCATAAACTGCGAGTCCATTCTGAACCATGATGCGGATGCACCAAATGTCTACCTTTCTGCCAACTTTCCTCAGAAAGTCAATGTTTTTGTCAAGATGTTTGTAAGATATGAACATACACACGTATAAAGTAAACGCAATGAAAAACAAGACTGGAAATGCGATGATCATTTGCTCTCTGTCAAATAAGAATATCCAGGCTAGATTTAGACTCATGTTGATGATGAAAAAGAAGAAAAATGTCCACGGTAGCAGTGTGGGGTTGATGTATAGAGGGCCATTTTCTGTTTTCCGGAACAAGTTGACAATGGTGTAAACAATCCACACAGCCTCCCAAATGTAAATCACCCCCCAGATACTGAACATCCATCCGGCTGGGGTTATCTCCACGTAGTACTTATCCGAAATGTTTCCCGTCTCGCTATTGAATATTCCTATAAAAAATTAAAATATTTATTAACCCATTAGGCAAATATTACATGAAATAAAGCATAACTAATATTATAAAATCTTATATAGATTCTTAAACATTGCAAAAAATGCTTTTCGAAGTTCAACGCTCATTGGGTATGCATTAAGACCGCGGAACATTAACTGGCAAAATTGGAAATATATACAGCTTACGTCATTTCTATCTGTTACAATCAAAACGTTCAGTGATAGAAAATGAAATGGGCGGGTACAATCGACGCGGACGTGGGGTAAACATCGGATAGAAATTGCAGATCGAAATTCATTTTCAATCCACCTTAGCTGTTTTCAAAGCAAATAGTGAATGTATGATCCAAAAATCAACTAATTTCAACTCCCAAATACATATTGTTTGAAGTTCACATTAATATGAGTTTATAATTTTAAGAACACGAAAGATCATAGAAGACAAAGATTATTTTTCAGGAGATATTTGATTGTAGGAGGGGGGGGGTAAAAATTGTCGAGTCAGGTCAAGGCTTAACATGACAATATATTTTATTTCTAGGATTATAAAAGTGCATGAGTTTTATACTTATTCTCTCTGAAAACTGTTGGACAACTTTATTTAAAAATCGTTCAACCCCCCCCCCCCCCCCCCAAACACACAAACACAAAGATATACATACATTTACCAAACAAAAATGAAATATTTGTCCATTAAATATTAATTTATTTAAAACACTGGACAAAATTGAAATTATTTGTTTTCTGGGTCAATCAGTAATAATGTGCCTTCTAGCGTAGCTAAGGTGGATTGAAAATGAATTTCGATCTGCAATTTTAATCCGATGTTTTCCCCACGTCCGCGACGAATTGTACCCGCCCATTTCATTGTCTATCACTGAATGTTTTGATTGTAACAGATAGAAATGACCTAAGCTGTATATTTCCAATTTTGCCAGTTAATGTTCCGCGGTCTTAATATATGCAGGTTATAGTATTAGTGTAGTAAATATATATTTGATAAAAAGATTTTTTACAACTTTTAACTTACCAAGTTTGACTCCGGTGCTTCCCGCGAAGGCGTTGAATATTGTTGCCACTCCATAAACGATTGCATTAATGAGAATAAGGAATAATAAAGGCACGTTGTGAGCCATTTCAGACTGAAAAGAAAACAAAATAATGAATTTTCCCCCAACTTTTTGCCTGGTAAAACATTTTTTTTTTTCGATCTTTTTTCTGTTCCCTGGAAATCTTTACAGTAAAAAAAAAAACGTCACAATAAATTGAACCATTAATTCTGCAGGAATTGTCCTAATCTATCCTTGTTTTGTAAAAGTTTTCTTCGGTATTTTAAATCTGTTAAATAAACCAAAAAAATTCTCTACAAGGGTTTTTAATTTTTATGATCTTATACTTACATAAGTTTAAGTAATCCTTATTATACTGATGAGAAGTGAATGTCCTAATATAAAGTCGTCGTGCAGTACTGATATATCGTTTATCAAGGTTTCCTGCATATTTTATATCAGACAGTTACACAACTCTTATGACGGAATAAGGGTACGGTAACTTGCTCGTGATAAAAGTAAACATCGTCCCGAAAAGTTATGTGTCATTTTAATCTTGTAAAATCGTTACTTAAAATAAAATAAAATAATTAAAAAAATTAGAGCTTGTTTTTATTTTCCCAATTCGCACTCCAAATAAATTAAGGGCTTTGGCTTTAAAAAATGTAGAATTTCTTCATTGTTTGATGTTCTAAATAAATGTTTTTAATATTCACCTGTTGTCTTTTAAGATGCACATGTCGCACCTCGTGGTAAAAGTTAAAGCGACACGAGTCACTGATTCTAGAAGATCAATATTTTGAAATTATAGGTTGTCGGAGGTTTTATGTCTTTTCAAACCTAGTCATAAAAACTTCTTTGGCGTGAACTTATTTTCATGTACTTGTATATATATTGCCATATATTCAAAATTCTGCGAGGAGAAAATATCAATTAGATGTACAGTTTCTTTACAATTTAGACCACATATATGTATATGAGGTATACTTTGAAATTCAAATTAAAAGAATCAAAACGTACAGCTTAATCTGACATACGTGTAGCAGAAAGCATGCAGCACGATGCATCCCCACCAACGTACAAAAACTAAAAACAGTATTATATATTTGCAAGAATTTTAGAGTTTCGACACTTCATAAATTCATTTATTTTTACAATGTTATTTTTTTGCCAGAGGAAATTAATATTTTATTACTGTATGTTCAAAGCATTTTACGACCAAGTTGTGTAATTCATCGACAACACGAGGACATGTACACCTAAAACTGAGCAATATTAAAATGTAAAAGTTTATGAAGTACATGTTTAAGTTTTTCGTGGGATATTGACAAACAGACGCCAGGTATGATGATAACACAGGCACCTTCGAATAAACACCCCGCCCCAACTTCTAATAATTTTTATGAGACACCATCTTGCAAATGGAGGCCTGACCAGTTTGATATCGGGGTAGGGGCCCACAAGCACATAAAAAATATTAAATCTTATGCATATTTTGACACAAAGGGGGGATTGGGTGGGTATCCCCTCTTAATCCGCCAGTGGATTGGTCCTAGACGGTACATAAAATACTACATTTAGTACTTTTGTCTCCCTCTTTAACTACAAGTGTGTAAGGGGGTGTTAACTTGGTTTTTTTTTGTGAAAAGACTTTCCTTTGGGAACCAACATATTTGACCTCTTGGCCTTGACATTGGAATCAATTCTGCAAATACTACGGCCTTAGCTTCCAACTTCACAAAAACTTTCATTATGACAAGGCTTTTCCCAAAGATATAAATATTTTTTTTTACTTTTTGACCTTGACCTTTGACTTTGCCCCAGTTTTCAACATGGAAATATTTTCAACGTTAGTGCTAGGGGTTTATATTTTGACCTTGACCTTGGAGTTTCGCACTTAAAAACCTCCTTGGTTATAACTTTTGGTTGAATGATTGCATATTTTTAAACGCCCCTCTTGAGAATTTTTCACTCATATGGAGATGCCACCACTTGCCGGTGGAGAGCTGCAAATTTTGTCCTATACTCGGCACTCAGAGCCATTGAGCAGGGAAGGATCTTTTTCATGCCTGCACCTACTGCTACAATGAAAATTAGAAACAGAGTCGGCAAAAATAACTTTTATTGCGGCTTTATACAATCATGTACAAGTACCATGAATTCTTGAGCAAAAGTTCATTATAAAGTTAACACATTAAAAAAAATACATGTATATAGGTGAGGCTCATCCACTCACAATTCTGTATTGGATTTCATTAAGTATTTATTAAATGTTTAAAAATTAATGTTTAAATACAATATATATAAATACAATGGTATACAACAAACTCACTGACTCAAAAGTAAAACAAAAAATGGTTAGCTCATTAAACAGTTACTATGTCAAAAAATTATAAAAGGATTGCAATTCCCAGAGTTTCCACTTTGTAAAGAAGAACAGTCAATTGTATAAAACACCTCAAGTTTATTTAGGTACAGTCAAAATACTTTTTTAAAGATTTACATATACCCAATAAACTATAGGAATAGGTATCTTCAAATATAGTATGTAATATATATTGATTATTTCAGAAATTTTAAGTGACAAAGTAATTGATGATATTGTAGTCCCTGTATCACAACATGCATTTTGCAATAATTAGCTCAAAATAAACCTTATATATGTACCCAAAATATTGTACATCCCTCCTGAAATCCCTACTAAAATAACATCTTGAATTACATCTTCACCCAAAACAATGTCCCATATAAAATTCTGGAATGTTTAGAAGACACAAAAAATCATTAACCATCACAGTTTGTGGAGTATTTTTTATATTAGATCCCAAATTATCCATCAGCCAGTTAAACCTGTAATCTTTAATGTCCAGGCATCCAGATTAGGCATTTCATTTATAGGAATGACTGGGAACTGGATCTCCATTCCACCACCAGAGTGCGCTTTCCATGTAAAGTTACCCTGGTAACCAAGCATGCTCACTGTTGTACTAGGGGAAGTAACTGGTGCACCTAAAACCAGTGAGTTTGTTTTTGGCCAGTCTAGCATGATGGCATATACAAATACTTTGCCATTGAGGTATTTAGCTGTGTACCTGTGCGAATTAAAAATATTCTTCCATCACGATAATTTATTGGTTGTAGCAATTGTTTAAGAAACACTGATTTATGTCACATCAAAGGATCTAATTTCAATATCTTGCATACTTAGCTGATTTTCTTCACAGAGATCTTAATTATAGCTGTGAAAAATAATTGTTCATAACTACCGCCATCCCTTTTCCAAGAAAGAAAACATAGGTAATCAGAGATTACAGAGCTCACCTCAACGAATGTTGTCTTTAAGTAAGGCAAAGTCACACAATTAACCAACAAAAAGTATACATTCCAAAAATGAAAATATTTTTAAAAGCAATTTTGATCTGATACTTTGAAATAGACCTACATAAAAAATTTAAACTACTTCTTCTTCATGAAAATGTAATGAAAATCCAGCATCTGAAGCAAATTTGAGAGTTTTCATCCCTTGATGTGTCATTTGTGCAAGTTTGGTTTATACAATGTTATATAAGCCTTATAGTTTTTGGTAATAGACCTGCAACCAAACTTTTACCTTGTCTATTATCTGAAAAATGTATGTCCAATTCAGCATAGCAAGTCCATTAGTGTGCATCCTTAGATGTATCATCCATGCAAGTTTGCTCATTATAGGGCTCATAGTTTATTGGAAATGAAAACTAACATTTTCACTCATAGGTCAGATTCAGCATATAAGCAAGCCTGGAAGTATGCATCCTTAGATGTATCATCTATGCAAGATTGGTCATTAAAGAACTCATAGTTCCTTGGAACTGAAACCTGCACCAAAAACTTCTAACTATTCACTCGGAAAATGTAGGTCAGATTACAGCATCCGAAGCAAGCCCGGTGGTATGCATCCTTAGATGTATCATCCATGCAAGTTTGGTCAACATAGGGCTTATAGTTACTTGGAAATGAAACCTGCACCAAAAACTTTAACCTGTTCACTCCGGAAAATGTAGGTCAGATTCAGCATCCGAAGCAAGCCCAGTAGTATGCATCCTTAGATGTATCATCCATGCAAGTTTGGTCAACATAGGGCTTATAGTTACTTGGAAATGAAACCTACACCAAAAACTTTAACCTGTTCACTCAACCGGAAAATGTAGGTCAGATTCAGCATCCGAAGCAAGCCCAGTAGTATGCATCCTTAGATGTATCATCCATGCAAGTTTGGTCAACATACGGCTTATAATTACTTGGAAATGAAACCCACACCAAAAACTGCACCAAAAATGTTAACCTGCTCCAAAAACATTAACCTGGTAATTCCTGTGCTGAAATTGCAGCATCTGAAACTTTGTCTGGTACAATAAAACACACTAAAACCATCTTCCATGCATGTCTAATCAGTATAGGACACAGAAGTAATTAAAAAGAAAACTGCTCCAAAAAACTTAACCTTAACCTGGGACGCCGACGCCGACACCGACGCTGACGCCGAGGGTATCACATAAGCTCCCCCCAACTTCGTTGAGGTGAGCTAAAAAGAAAGAAAATTGTATAAACTTATAATAAAAAAAGGTTTCTCAAGAATTACCATAGATTCTCTGCGATGGTATCGTTCTGATGTGACCAGGGCTCTGATCCGTATATAGCCTCTCCGTTGATAGACAGCCAGGCCCCCATCTGTCTCAGTCTCTCCTCCTGGACTGGAGGAATTATACCATCCTTGGTGGGGCCAACGTTCAGCAGGAAATTTCCACCACAACTGTAATTCAATAACATTTGTTGTTTAATTCACAATAAATATGAATGAACAGTTAGATTACACTGACTTTGTAAGGACCAATGTTGAGCAGGGAATTTTCTTCCAAAATTTAATATAATAATATTTATTATATGAACCACAGTGAATATAACTTCTTTTCAGCAAATGCTCCCTGATGGCCAGTAAGAGTCCTGCTATCCGATGTCTCACCTTACAGTCCTGGCCAGGTAAGTCAGCAGCTGGTTTATAGATAAGTAATCATCAATCCTGGCTCTGCGTCGGAATCCCCAGGAATACCTGTCCATTTCCCTGGCTTCCTCCCATTTCCTCTTCTGCAGTTTACCTGATTAGTCAAAAGATTATGCTTAAATATTTTTTGACAATTAAAGAGCTAATTAGATAATCAGTATATGTGTACATCACCAACATCATTTACATGTACATGTATTATCTAGTTATACCCAGAGAGTAGCTTACCTGGATCATACTTGTCATCACAGTCAAAGAATCCCCCGTGTTTACACTGTGTGTTATTCCCCCATCTATCATTGACAACAACTTTATCCTTCACAGGACTGAAAGGAGAGAATAATAAAGATGTTTATTTCAAAACCTAGTTCTACACACTGAAAAACTTTCTGAAATTCCATAGCCAAGTCCAATGAGAAAGAAAAGAAAAGTTTTATTTACATGCAATATATATGATTATATGTTTTTGCTTTAAACAATCAAATCAAATCATCAGATCATGTCAGACTCCAGGCCATAAAACATAAAACAACTCACTTTTGTTCTATGTCCCACTCTTATAAAAGGAATAAACAATGTATAGTGAAAAATGGAGACTGAGATCAAAAAAGAGCTCAGCTAATTTTACAACCCTGGAGCCAGGTCTTTCAACCAAATAAAGGTCTAAGAACCTGCTACAACCTAAATAAACAATTTGCAGTCTGTTACCATGATCCTACTCTCTACTCACCTCTCATTATATAGCCAGGCCAGGAAGTTGGTAGCATTCCAGTACTGATCATCAGCTTCCCAGTTTCCATCGGACCAAACAATGTCCGGCTTGTACCGATTCACAATGTCATGTAATTCTGGCATCACTTTTGACTGGAATAAATGTTAATTAATTTACTCTAGCTGTTTTTCTTCCAGATATACTGTACGTGTACATAAATTGGCATATTCAAATTTTAGCGGAATTACTGGATATGAAGCCTGCTTTTTAAGTACACATACATTAGTTAAACTTCAATATCTTGAACACTGATATCTTGAATACCATGAATACCATGAAGTGAGTTGGAAAGCCCAAGCAACTATGTTTTCTTTTCATAAATTAATGTTTTTAACCTCAGTATCTTCGTATTCTCTCTTATCCCAAAGAATTTTCCGGGTTCAAGATGAAGTTTTGTAAAAATACTTAAACCAATACTTTAACTAGATGAGCGCCGAGCTAAAGCTCGACGCCATAAATATCCCAATTCAAAATTCTTTGATGAAGTTTGATTCACATACCTCAACAAAGGACTGAGTCCTGAATCCATTGGCTTTGTCCTTGAGATACAGAGGATGATACCATTCCAGCAGGCAGTAGTACAAACCAAAGTGTATGTCTGTCCTGTTCCTTATTGATCTCTCCAACTCACCTAAAATACCAGTATAAGATATAAATCCAAGACCACCATTGGAAATATCACTTTATAGAATGAATTTTAAGTTCACATTTAGATAGACTGTGTTTAATAACAAGTAATATTTAATATTATATTCAGTTCTAATCAATATGAAAATCTAACAACTGACTACATGTATTGTATGTCACTTGACTTTAATAGTAGAGCCCCGGTTTACTACCTCCACTTAATAAAGCTGATTAAAAAATAAATGCAGAATTAAAAGCCTTTTAGGTCTTAAATTGATGATTTTGATACATGAAAGGTATGAATGTCCTTACCAACAAGATCTCTATTTGGCCCAACATCCATAGAATTCCAGTTAAATGCTTGCTTTGATGGCCAGTTACAGAAACCCTCTGGTTGTTTGGTTATCAGCACAACGTATCTGGAAAAAAATTATTGTTTACTATTAATTTGATTTTTAGATGCATATTTTTTCACATGCATTATGAATATCAGAGACAAAGTTTCTTCTATGGTGATAAAAAAAGCTAGCACTTACTTGGCCCCAGAAGCTTTAAATATATCAGCCCACTGGTCAGGATTGTAAAATTCTGCAGTAAACATTGGCGCAAAATCTGCATAGGTAAAATCTGGTGGATAAAATTTGTTCATAAAATCAACCACCTCTGGTATCTTCTCAGTTTTCCATGCATACCAGAACCATTCTGTATAGATGCTGGGAACCGAATACACGCCCCAGGTTATTAGCAGGCCAATTTTTGAATCATCAAACCACGGGGGAAGGGGTCTCGATTCCAAAGACTCCCAATTTGGCTTATATTTTTGTCCAACAACCGCAGACAAGCAGATGAATACAAAAAACAATCGATTCATTACTGTTAAAATTCGAATCCTAAGAGGCAACTTCTGCTCCTACCCGCTTTATCCACTGAGACTGACCGCATCTACGGGTCCCGTGATGTTTATGTAATTGTGAAAGTTAAAAGTGAAAGTAATAGTCCAATTGACGTTTAGATAATTCAATCGTAGTTTATTCGCGCGCTGCCAAAAACGTCAATCTTCTATGCAGAGTATCAGTTGTCGTTCGTTCCTCTCTCAGACACCTCTGCAATTGGCTCACGTCAAGATTTTTGACATTATGTATAAAAAGTATTATTTGCAGGATTGTTTCGAATTAAATTAAATCGAGTAAAATTTCTCTCAAAAGTCATAATTTGTGAATATATTCTTCAGATACCTATATAATGTACATGCTTAATGTATATAAAAGCACTTTTACCTTTCATTTGACTTCGCAATCAATCAACAACTCAAGATCATGAATTTTGGAATAAATATTTTTCCTAAAATGAATTCCAATAGCTATATGTATATTGCACAACTAAGAAAACTTACCAACTGTGAGTTTACACATATTAAAAACAAGTAAACAGTTATCAATGTTTTAATTTATTTGTAGGAATGAGCATAAAAATTGTAAAGTCAAAGTGAAAAAAGGTTATAAAATCCCTGAGACATCTTATTGTAATAATGCCATGAAATTGCATAGGACTACAAAAGCACTTAATAGATGATTTTTTTTCATTATGACAGGTTAATCTAATTTTGTATATCTGAGGAAAACATGTCAAATTGACCATAGAATATCTGATGGGATTTCTAGTTAATGTGGAGTATACATGAAAAAAATAAAGAGGCTATTTGTTTCCTTCGTTCCCTCCGGGTAGCTGCAGATCTGTAGCTCTCCAAAAAAAATATTGATAGACCTGAGAGCTACAGTGCCACCCATTGAAAAAACTGTATATTTATTGCGCACACAAAAAAGTGTGCTCAGTTCTCGATTTATTTCTCCAAGTTTTTAAAACTGTAATCTCAAAATATTATTAACCGTGTGTTCCTAACATATTCTTTCGCTGTTTCCACAACCAAACATTCCTCATAATTGTTGTTAATAGTCCTCCTGAGCCTGATATTATAATCATCGAACATTTCGCTTATTTATACTGCCATTTTGGTTTCAAAGATAATTCGGTTCAATGTGCTTCGTTCGGATGTCAACTACGAGAGTACTTGATAGAAGATAAAGGAATTTTTTTTTGAAATCTTTCCTTATTTGCAATTGAGGTAAGAATTTGGAAGAATTAATCAAGAACCGAGTGCACTTTTTTGTGTGCAATAAATATAGTTTTTTCAATGGGTGGCACTGTAGCTCTCCGGTCTATCAATAATTTTTTTTCGGAGAGCTACAGATCTGCAGCTAATTTCTGGGTAAATAAAAAAAAATTAATCTTTCACTGTGAAAATTCAATTTTTCATAACCTCATAAAAGTGTGAGACACTGATTAAAGCTGATAAAATTAAAATATATACCTTCCTCCCAAACTTTTTGGCATGGGATATAAAAATTAACATTTTAATACTCTATAAGCAAATGTAGGGTATATTTTCTTGCATCTATTATATGTTACAATAATTGCTTGGTTTCTTTCCCAGCTTGCACCTATTTTATGCTACAATGATTATTTGGTTTCTTATCCAACAATGTAAACTTGAAGGCAGTTTAATTAACATGCATCTGCCTTACTTGAAACAAAATACATTTAAAAAAAGCTGCATATATCATATGTTCTGCTGCCTGATATTACAAACTGTAAACTTATAACCAATACTAATGGGATCTCTTTGACCTCTTTCTTATTACTACCACATTGTAGATCTTCGTCTTTTGATGATTCTTTGTTCCGGTTTAAAGTCAAGCGAGTCTTGACTTCTCTTTCTGGATTTCAATGTCACTTCATCAGTGGAAGGAGTTTTAAAATTGAAGGTTATGTCTGCGTCCACTTTTTGGGATAAGCTTTTTTGTAAAGGGCTTTTGTCTGTGGAACACTCTGATAAAACACTTGAGTTTGACTTTTCCAAGGGAGATAAATCTTCAAGAACATTTTTGGTGTAAACAAGAATGTATCCTTGGCTCATTAATACTTCCTCCTTGGAACAAAGTTTTACCCTGGAATCATTGCAATTGATCCATGAATCTGTAACAGAAATACAATATATACTATAACACAAGGTATCAAAATATTTGTACAATTTTCTTTGCCCTTTCTAAAAATGCTTTGCCGAGTACCGCATGATCAGAACTTATAAAAAGTTTTAAAAACTTCAATGTTTGAAGTAAAAGATAAGTTGGTGCAGTACAACATTTACATTTTGAACCAAATTCAGAACAGTTTTTTTTCATCATGTGGACAAACGGGGAAAATTTTGCTTCCATTTCATTTTCACCCCCTTTCAAACTTTTTATTAATTGGCAAATTCAAAATGAGTCAAATTTCACAGAGACAATTTTCTTTCACTGAGTTTGGGAAAATTTAAAATTGGGATGAAATTATTTGCAAGTGAAAAGGAGCAAAATGACAAGGAGCAAAGGTAACTCTGTATACAGTGGATCTTCAGATATCCGGATGCCAGATATCCGGATGCTTCAGTATCCGGACGATTTTTCATTGGAACATAATTTTTTAATGTTATTGTATCTTATTTAAATGCTTATTCAGATATCCTGACGCTTCACATATCCGGACAAAGTGATTAGGAATGAAAGCGTCCGGATAAATGAGGCTCCACTGTACATTAATAAGCTGAATTCCTGGAAACTTACTAGCTTCTGCATTCCAGCAGCAGGCCGTGTAGTGACCACTCCCAAACCCTCTGCCGTGGTGAATGATGACCCCCAGCAGATTATAGGTATAGCTCTCCTCCTTCTCCATATCTGACTTATCACAGAAAGGTTCAATATCTAGGACATCATCAAAGGCCACCTGTGTAGAGATTTTCTCCCTGTGGTTCCGGCCTGACCACCTGCATATAAATTATGGAGATGATGAACGGTAATCCAGCTCAAAGTCTATTGAAACAGTAAAAATCTGGAGCAGAGCAAACAAAGACTTCCAAAATTACCAAAGGTGGGATCATGTGTCATGGGGGAGGAAGTTTCCCCATCGACAGATCACACCCTTAAGCTCCTTTTCATGAATGGCCAATGGGTAAACATGGTGCTTCCTCTTTGGCTGACATTGTTTGTGGGAGATGGATGTTCATAGATATGACTCCCCTTACTCATAAATTCACATCTCAAAATAGCATTACCAGGTACATTAAAACTTTGCACATAAAATTTTAGCCCAAAGATTTATCTCCATGAAACAGTAAATTTTAGTTGCCCACAAACATTGATTAAAATATTTACATATTATTTCTTTTTAAATAAAGTTGAAACTTGCACTGTAGAGTTTTTATAAAGATTAATTTCTGTAATTGATTCTTTTAGAAATTACCCTAAGTTACTTGTTCTTGTGCAGTATTTACATACCCTTTGTTTCTTTTTTTTTTAAATATGTATACATGAAAAAAAAACCCAACCTTTTTATAATACGAGGGCTGTTCAATAAATAATGTCCTGAACTATATAACATACATTACAGATATCATATGACATTAAACTTGGCTTTTTCTCATTATTGAATCTTTCGTGAATTTATAACAGTTTATGTGACCACTTTTTATCACATAGTTCCATCGTTAGGAGCTGGGAAACAAGGGCTTTTCGAGACACTGCATTATAAATGAATGGTAAAGAATCAGTAAACTAGAGTGAAAATAAAAGCTTCATTATAGCTGCCGTAAAACTTGTTAAAAATCCCAAAGAAATATTCACTGAAATATATGACATTTACAGCAACCAATGCCTGTTTTATAGACAAAAGAGCAAGTGGATTTCAATGATAAAAAATTATATAATGGGCATCAAAAATGGGTACCCTCCTTGCCAACAAAAATTATTACAACTTATGTACTGGTTGCCAAATTTCAACAAAAAATATTTGATGATGTATGATTGACTTTAAGACACATAGGAAATGTGATAGACATCATATCGGGAGTAGTTAATTCTGTTTTTAAGAAACGTTTCACGGTAAAAAAGCTTGGTACTCAAAGGTCACCCTATATTTTTAAAAATGAGTGAAAACGACAGCGTGTACGAATGTCTTAACAATTATTTTAAAATATCAGTAATTGTAGTGTATCCATGTTTGTTTTATTTTCAAACAGATATTGGAACATGAATCTATTGATTTAAACCCTCAAAACAAAATTTACCATAAGATGTACTTGATAAAAACGGCGAATGTCTGACAAGAGCACAGGTATTCAGGAGCACAAACACAGATTTATGTGTAATTTTCTTGAAAATTAGTGGTATTGTTGTTCAAATTCGTATTCGGAGAGACAGTTTAATATCTGGAGGAGTCTAGAAAGCAATTTTTTGGCTAAAAAATCAAAAGGTTTATTAGAGGAAGGACCCAGAATCAGGAATCCACTACATTGAATTTCTTCAAGACAGCGTCCAAACCCGCACGCCCTGAAGAGTAAAGGGGTTTTCGGGATAAACAGAAAGTTAATGTTTTTTCACATTAACAATATTCGCCAGATCTTTGACCTTTTGACTTGTTTCCATTTCCAAACTTGAAAAAAACACCTTTCAGAGGGAAGAAACAAGTCCCAGAAATCATTGGATCTGCCATTTTCCAGTATACTAAGGGTCATGCCCAAAAATGTGTTCTAAAAACAATCAGAAATTGGATAGAAAATGTTACGGACATACATTTTACTTAAAAGAGATTAATTAGTAAAATAATGAACACTAAATCATTGAAAAGCGTCTTTTGCTTCTTTCTGAGCACCGAGGACATTATTTATTGAACAGCCCTCGTACACTATCAACTAACCTAAATCTTTTGAGGTGCAGTCTAAGCACATTTGGCAGTCTTTTCAGCAGCAGTCTTTTCTGTGCCTCAGTATAGATGGAATTTGAAGTCCTTTTCTTTCTTCGAGCTTAAAATATTCAATACAGGATACATGAAAATATTTTTTAAAAGCAGCAATGGCCTCTGAATTTTTATCAATTTTACAATACTGTTTTTGGTAAAAAATCTGCAGTCTTTTAAAGGCCGACTTATTCTAATATTATGACATATACATTTTTACTTTAATACCGGAAACTATATTTAAAAGAATTGCACTTACCATTACATTTTTCACACTGGTAAATCCTTCCCTCTAAAGTTTCTTCTTCAGTAAATTTGTACAACATTTCTAGAAAAATAAATAAAAGTTTTGGCCTTTCAATGACATGAATACATTACAATCAAATCTCTTTATCTTGAACTCAACAGGACCAATTTATTTGAGGATTACAGATTATGAGGTTTAAACATAAATAAAAAGTGGATGAAACTGCCAATTCACTGTGACATATCCCAATTATTCAAGATTTCATTGCTTAAAATCATATACATAAGATACTTCTTAGTATACCTGTAATGTGACAGATGTCCTGAGCTATGCTTGCGTTGAGGGAGGTAAACTGATATCTTTCTGGGAATTCTAAAGAGAGATCCATAAAAGGCTCCTTTGTTTCTGAGACATTTCCACAAACAAGGCACTTCACCTGTTACATAAATTTCCATCAACGTTGTGAACAATAGAATTTAATGCTCATTCAAGCAAACTTGGTCTAACAAACTGCATTTAAATAAATATTAATTCATTAAAAGTACTTATTGCATACCTGACTGACCAGTTCACCTTGAAACATATCTGACACAATGTCAAAAAGGTCAAGGTCACTCAGCTCATTCTGAACTTTATCCAACAATTCACTGCAAAACATGAATGATGAGACTGAATATGTGATGTTACAAGAATGTTTCAAGAGTAAAGGAACAAGCAACCTATTACTTTGTTGTCTGTATTTTATATTATGCTTAGTTTTTCACAATGAATATGATAGGCATTGCACGACTTTTATTGAAAATAGTGAACTATAAAACTTCAGCCAAAGCTACTCTCTTAATGGTATTCACTAAGAGATATGAATCAGAGAGATGATAGAGATTTCAGCCTAGACAAGAGCTTTCCTGCATTTGTACATTGTACATGTACGTACTATCCACCAAAGTGGATGTCTATCTACTATCCACCAAAGTGGATGTCTATCCACTTTTTTTTTTGCAAAACTTGCTGTTGATAAAAATAAAATCAGAATAATTCTGTACCAGAGGAATTCCTGGGCATCATGCTGAGCGTGGCCTTTAAACATGGGGATCCTCTGCCACACAGCCTGTAGGAAACCATGGGGACTGACCTGGGCCCAGTTACCTGACCATAATACTCGGAAAAGACCATTTAGCTCCTGACAAAGGGATCTGTAAAAAACATAACTTATAAGAAAATTACTGTAACCTAGCCGCTGTTTTTTTTTTTTTGCCTCTGTTGTGGAAATAAGAAAGACATGAAGGCAATGGATTAGGACGCAACCTTCAAATTTTCAAACATGAGCTTTAAAAGTCATAGAAAATTTGCCCATGAATGGTTTAATACACAAAATTACACATGTAGGTATATAATTTACAAGTGTAGTTTGAATTCATTCATAAATTGTGCCTTTACAAAGGTACACAAAAAATAGATTGGCAATAGATTTTTCATATCATTAATATGCTATGAAAATCTTGATATTACATGTTACTTGTTGGGACTTTTTTCTCCACAGATAACAACAGTTTTCCTTTGAGGGGTGTGGTCAGTTGTGACCCTCCATGTAAACCTCCTGGCCTCTCTTTGGTAGGGGTCACTGGATTTCTTTCTGGGGTCATTAAATGCTGAAAATGTAAAATAAAATGCATAAAACTGATAAAACCTCTTTTGTATGACAAACTTTCAAATGATTATAACATGGTTCATTTTGTCTCAGCCTTCAAAGTTTGAAGATGCATTTCAGGTTAATGTCACAGGATATTAATCAGAAATAATCATTTCATAATGCCACATCCCCCTTCTTTTAAATGATATTTGACATTAGAATTATATTTACAAAATTGCCATCATTTTGCAACTTAAACTCAGATCTCTGATGCATCAATGTTTCAGAACTACCTTTAAGTACGAAACAGCTGATCAATCATTAACTCTTATTTTGAAACAAGCAAAAATACAAATGATATTTCCACGTAAGTTAACATGTTCAGGGTTTACCTCAAAACATTCTATAGTGGTTTGTCGACTAAACAGTCTCTTTGCTGGCTTGGAGTAGAAGTTCTTTGGGGCTTTTGGAGACAGGGTCACTGGAGTTACACACTTCCTCCCAACCAAAGAGTGGGGACTGCTCTCAGGGGAGGCAACTCTACTGGGACTAGGCTGGATCTGATGTCGAAAAAAATCTCGAAATTCCTCCAAGTGGCTGAGGAGAGACAAACTCAATTATTACCAATCAGTAAAATAATTTGATGTATTTATAGAGCTGAACAAAAAAAAAATCTGCAGAAATTTCTACAGTAATATACAATCCTGACAATAAAAAGGATTTTTACTTTTTTACATAAATGAAGTAAATGGTTACCTTAATACTTGAAGTACAGAGTTCATGTAACACGTGTTTCCAAGGTTACGTAGACCAGTCATTCCAGGAATTAAGGTTCTCCTTTTGATAACGGGACTCCATTCCAAGGGGGACTCAATTTTCCTTTTCACTGGTGTTCTTTGTTTCTGATATCATAGTCATCAGGAAAAATAACAAAAAAATTAATAGCAAATTTTGCAAAATTTGTAACCTAACAAAATTGCAAAATTTTTCTGGCATTCCTTACAGGCTCAGTAATAATACATAGCAATTTAACATTTCCATTTCAAAATCATTCTGTTGTTTTGTTTCCTATGTAAACTTTACTCATGAATTATTTTTTTACTAAAAATAAAGTGCCACGGCACAGCATGATACGCCCGTCAAAAAATTACAATTATCTTAAACAGTTTAAAGTGCAAGAAAATCTGATGTCAACCTTGATTTTAAGATTTTCCATGATTTTTCCATTCCTTAAAATATTTGTTTATCCATCTCCTGTGGTGTAGGCATTAATTATAACAAATATTGTATCATTCATAGATTTCTATACTGGTTGTGTTAGACCTTGCCAAATGCCCATCATATTAAATCAAAAGCCTGAAAGGCTTCAATGGCGTCGAACAAGAAAAACAATTTCAAAAGATCTGCAAATAGGTCAAGTGAGTGACTCCAGTAACATAATAATAAAATTTAAAAAAAATAGTCTTAACACAAATACAGTATAGGGCCTGATAGCCTTGTGTCCTGGTCCGAATTGACCAGACATCGTCAGAAATGTCCATCCTCTATATCAATCTAATTTCTTTTCAGTCAATCGAAGACATATGAAGGGTTTCATAAATTATTTTAATTAATTGCCATTGTCAGAGTGATGTTCTGTTGTATAGTGATTGCATCTTAACTACAACCATGACTCTAATGTTACAAGTACGATCGACTTACGATAAGCAAATGGAGGAAATGGATAAATACAGTAATACTGGCATTACTGGTCAATATCATAGGTTGTTCGGCTAAAATTGGATTGAAGATCGTAAAAGTAAAGCTAAGATTAAGAAATTCAATCTTTATAGTCTTGTTGTATTCGTGTTTATTTTGTAATTATTTTACCGTATTTAAGATTGTTTGTATTACAGTTATCGGTCCCAAAATGTGATTCATGTCATTCAACGCACCCTCTCAGTAGAAATTCATCCGCAACAACCATAACGTTTTTCTTGCGTAAAAATTAAACATAATATCGTTGTTTTGTAGTAGTATTAATTGAAGATACAATTGATTTAATTTTATATTCAAGCTATTATTCATTGTGAACGTTTTAAAAGAAATTGGTTTACAGCTGTTGCTATTTTCTATTGCGGATGCATCCACTGACACGTGCGGTCGCGTAAACCTGACTGATCGCTAGATGACGATCGGGCAAGCAAGACGCCATAAAAATATCAAATTAATCTAACAACTTAATCTATACCTAATTAATTTTGAAAAAAAAGGCTGGCCATCAAATATAAACTGACCAGCAGTTCTTCTGTCTAATTCCCAAAGGATACAGATAAGACAATGCTCTGAAGAAATGATTGAGACGCTTAGCTTTCCTACACTGAACACATTAATTAATCTTTAACTGGATGCTTGTCTACTAATTACTCCCAACAATGCCCAAGAGATTATTGGATCTGCACTATCTACCATAAAACAATTTTAAAACATCTAAAACATCAACAATTTTTTTAATTCATTTGGACCTGCTGATTCCATCCCCATCCCATAAAATTAGTTTTTAAGTGCATAATATTATGTAATATCAAAATAGTTTAATATGCAATATCAAATTAGTTTTAATTACTTTTCATCAAATTCATTTTAAAACTTAGGCTAGCCAACAAGAGCTATTTTTAATCCAACAGGCTAACCCCATTTGCCCAATATCCAGTGGGATATAGATTGCACTGATGCTCTACCAGCTACTCCTCACACTAAACTCATTAATTTCTCGCTCTAATTTGAGTGCAATTTTCTGTTATCAAAATTCTTCTTGACCAGTGCTTGATAACTACACTCATGGTGGTGGAATTTCTCTAACATACATTATATTTGTTATAGATTGCTGTCAAGAATATGCTAAAAAAATAAGTATTTTCTTGATTTAACATTTTTTAAATAAGGATAGTGCTATACTCTTACATTTTTTGGAGTGTGTAAATGAAAAGAAATGAAGACAATTTTTTTTTTTTCAAATTTCACTTAAAGGTCACAGTGACCTTAAAATAGGTTGTGACACACCTTCTACCTAGGATGCATAAACTGGCCAAGTTTGATGATTCTAAGTCTTATTGTTTTCTAGTTATGGACCGGACAGGATTTTTCCATATTTGGCTATAACATTTTAATTATAGGTCAGAGCGACCTACTTTTTGTGCGCAACACACCCTCTACCCAAGATGTATCAGCTAACAAAGTTTGATAACTCTAGGCCTTATAGTATTAAAGTTATGAGCTGGACACGAGAAAAGCTAACAGACGGACACGAAGCCTATAACATAATACGTCCCGTCTTAAGACGAGCGTATAAAAACTATAGCTTGCTGAATATTTACCGCCTATCAAAAATTTACCTTGATGTACTTCCCCTGTGTGTAAAGTTTCCATGCTGTAAATGTCTTTCTCAGTAACACCTGTCTGAGAGGAAAAGGAAAACAAATCAAAATACTGCTGGGAACAGAAAGATCAAACTTTAAATTAATTGATTTTTCAGAAAAAAAACTTTCATTAAATAAGAGTTTTAAAAAAAAATTATTAGGAAAAATGCTTAGAGTTTATGGCGTCTTTATATGAAACACAATTAAACATTGGTATTTCAAATATGGACATCTTGAATAATGTATGCAGGTCAGAAAAAGTTTTATTTTAATAAGAACTACATGTTAATTCTGAACATTAAATATATGTCAATCAATCATTAAAACTATTCTCACTTTCTATGAAAATCTGCTGTAACTATCTTGTCATCTTCATCTGTTTTCAAGCTGCAAACATAAATGTTTACGCTGACATAACATACATATCAATATTCATAAAAAATAATACTTGCAGATTTTTAAGAAAGTAATCCTGCAACAAAACAATGTAATAACCACTGATAGATAATCAACTATAACATACAATATTTTATTATAACTCTTACATCATGTAACATTCAGGAAAGCTTTTAATAACTCACGGTGACACGACAGCGGTGTGGGAGTATGACCTGAGTAACCTCCTGCCCCGCGACTCCACGTCAGTAAAGGTCTGGGTCGCTATAGCACTTAATGCATTCCTCAGGATCTTCAGATCCCCTGAGACATTATCATTTAGGACGTAGTCATCACATTGGTAACTGTTACCATAGATACATAAAATAATAATGTCTTAATTAGTTACAGTCTCATTTGGACTTTTTTTACTATGCAATTAATCAAAATAAAACAGATAAAAAATGATTTCAATTTGCCAATTAGCATTATATCGGCAATTTCATTTTGAACCCAAATGTATATCTTTCAGTGAAAAAGAGTTGCTTTGACTTGAATATTATTTCTCTGTTTGTTTCTTGACAAAAGTATAATAAGTTTAAAATTCTACATACCAATACACATATTTCTCGTTAACCTCTAGACATAATGGATGCTGCAAAGAACAAGAGATGTTTGTAGAACACTTGTGCCCCCCTCCCCCCATATTGGAATTTTTCTAAGTCCAAAAGGGCATAACTCTGTCAAAAATAATGTGATTGTACCCAAAACAGAAATTCACCTAGATATTCATCTGATAAATCTGTATACTAAATTTCATTTCAGTATGCTCAACCTCTGCAAAGGAAATGAACAGAAACTGTAAATAATTGGAATTTTTCTAAGTCCAAGGGGCATAACTCTGTCAAAAATGGTGCGATCGTACCCAAAACACAATTTGACCTAGATATTTATCTGACAAATTTGTATACTAAATTTCATTTCAGTATGTGCAACCTCTCTGTAGAAAACAGAAACTGCAAATAATTGGAATTTTTCTAAGTCCAAGGGGTATAACTTTGTCAAAATGGCGTGATTGTACCCAAAACAGAAGTTGCCCTAGATATTCATCTGATATACCTGTATACCAAATTTCATTTCAGTATGTGCAACAGCTGTGAAGAAAATGAATGGAAACTAAATGGATTAACAGACTGACCAACAGACAGCAGCAAAGCAATATGCCCTCCCTTCTTCGAAGGGGGGCATAAAAAAAACATGCACAAAATAGATACTTGGCCATACATAATATTAAAATCATATGTGCCATTTCAATAAATTTATTCACAGTTAAAAGCTGTTGCAGTTTAAAAAGAAAAATTTGCTTACCTGGGTTTCTTTGAAGTGTTTTAGAGCATGCTCCTCGTTAAATCTTCCACATGCTACACTAGGACAACTAAGGCAGGCCTACAATATTTTCAAAATTCATGAAAATCAAAATTTAACTAACTGACTAACAACATAGAATAAAATGGATAACTTTTGCAGGTATCACAAAATTACAGAATACAATCAAAACTGTATGGAATTGCAGAAAAATAAAACTGTAGTATTCTCTAATTATCTCTCCCTGGCAAAAAAAATTGAGCAGAGGCACACATGTATCACCATTGGATTTATATAATAAAGTAAAAGCTCCTCAGAAAAATAACTTAATATTGTTGCCAATTAATTAAACTTAAATTTGCCTTGTCCCATATATGAAACTTTTATCAACTAAAAAGAAATGACAGAATGTGATCTACATAAACATACCCAGACACTCTCTGTTGTGCCACATGCATAACACATCCACTTCTGGGGATTTAGTATCGAATGGCTCCATTTTTTAATGGCCGACAAATGCTTACAATTGTCCATTTATAACTGAAAGCTAGAAAGAAATTCTATATAATCATGATAATTATGTTCCCCAAACGAAGTTTGGGAACATATTGTTTTTACTTTTTCTGAATTTTTTCTTTGTTCTCCGGTACTTTTTTGTCCGCGAGTGTTCTCGTAAACTACTCATCCGATCTAGGTGAAACCTTTTTAGGGTCACTAGGTATGTTATGTAGATGTGCGGAACGAAGGTCATTTTGCACGCACGTGCGTGCAGGTGCGCGCACGTGTAACACTTGAAATGACCAATATAATAGATTTAGCCGTAACTTTTTAAATATTGGATGAAATGCTTTGAAACTCATAATATAAGGATATAATAGTAGTATAGACATGGTGACATGGTCAAAATAGCAAGATCTCACGCGCATGCAGGTGCCCTTCGCTGCGATTGGCTGAAACTTAAAGTCTAAATATCTATTTTGTTTTCTGACAAAATCCTTTGAAATTTTGAACATAGTCTTACATTATGAAGATCTACAGCATGATATATAAGAATAATCATGAACGCACGCACATGCACGTGTGCTGCAATCTGATTGGCTAAAACTTTAAATGCCTACAACTTTCTTGGTTCTCAATAATACAGGGTGAAATTTCAAATATGAATAGATATAATGATTGCCTACATTATACTACTATCAAAAGTAAATACATGGACGTGCATGCACATGCGACCGCACACAATGTATTAAAAGACAGTATACTTCAGTGTTTGATGTTCCTGCAGAATTAAGAACTTCTAAATGTCAAGACATGTAACATACTGAAGCATGCAGATCTTTTTACCCTTGACCTTGAAACTTAGGTCAAGGTCACTGGTAACCTGAATAAAATGTTGATATTAACTATTTACCAAAATCACCTTGACCTATGAACTTGAAATCGACCTTAACCTTTGTCCTTGACCCAAGGGTAAAAAGAAACATGAAGTACATGTACAGTGGACCTTCAGATATCCGGACGCCAGATATCCGGACGCTTCACCTTCCGGACGATTTTTCTCGGGAACGGATTTTTTCAACGTAATTTTGACTCATTTATCCCCGCGTTCCGTATCCGGACGGCTCTTTTTTACTACAAAATGTATTTTTACGTTATAATTTGGTTCATTTATCCGGACGGTAAATTTTAATTTGTACTTCCATTCTTGTCAACATTCACGCCTGAACTGAGTGATAATTGTTATCAAAACACTGGCCGAATTGATTGTTTTTACAAGACGATCACCTGTGACCCGTTATGAATGACTTACGATGATTAGTCCACAGGTTAAGCATGATAGGTGGATATGGTCATAATATACGGGAGATCGATATACAAATGAAAATAAACAATTAACTGTGTTGGTAACAGAAAACAATATTTGTTATCTGCGAGATATTTATAATTTTATTAAACAGCTGTTTTTAAATATTTTTCTATTTATAAACGGGACGACATAGTTTCATAATCTCGTTGTCTACACATGTGCACACACAAATCGGTATTGTGTAATTTCCTTCTGTAGACTGGTGGCAGTTATCATCGAAAAAAAAACCTAAAACATTCAATCAAATATGAATAATTTTGGACAATCAATGATTTCGCTTGGGATGATTAATGCGTGAATTTTAATATGTCAGAATTAGTGTTCAAATTAAAATTAGACTCGAAACTGACAGCTCGCTTGGGTGTAATCAATGCTGCAAATGAGAGAATTCGCTTGGCTATGTTCATCAATTTGGTGTGTTCAATTTATAGGAAGTAGAAAGTAAAAATAAGCTGGGTAATTAAAAATCTGCCCATATAAGCAGCGTTATATATCTAATGTTCATCATTCTGCTCTCCAGCTACAGCCATGTCTACACCAGTCTGATTAAAATCAAACCTTCACTAGCTCCTTTTTATTGCTTCACGCGACAAAACAATAAAAAGGAGCTAGTGAAGGTTTGATTTTAATCAGACTGTGTCTACACAGCCGGCAAAGAGAGCACGAGTCGGCATTTCCGCCACCTATAGAAATATTTATCATATTTGAAAAAAAAGTAGTGCTGATGTATACTAAAGATATAGTCTACTCTATAAAATAATAAATTATTATTTCTATATGATAGCATTTATCTTTCTTTATATGTAAGAGTTACAATACAAATACAGTATACATGGAAGAGAAATCAATAGAATTCAGATATCCGGACGCTTCACTTATCCGGACAATTTGCTTGGGAACCAAAGCGTCCGGATAAATGAGGCTCCACTGTACATGTATCTAGAAACACCTTTCAGAGTTTATTTCGGTTGACAGGTTAGAAGTTAAAGAGGTGGTAGTTTTTAATGACCTTGACCTTTCATCCAAATGTCACAATCAATCTTAAGTTCTTGGAATAAGATACAAGATTCAACTCCAACGTTAAATAGGTTAAGAATAAAATTAACCCCCCTCCCCACGCCCCCCCCCCCCCCCCCACACACACACAAACAAATCAAATTAATGGCAACGTAGAGAATCACTGTTAAACTCAAATAACACCTCGGACCCACATAAAATTTCAGGAAAACTGCAGAAAAGAACTCGAGGAAAGTGTATTAAAATATTTCATTTGAGTTTCCAAAGTATATAGAAATTATTAATTTATACAGAAAAAATTACAAATCCTGTCGTGTTTAAAATTAAAGTGCAGATGACCAAAGTTGGCATATAAGCCTTTTATAGCCTATTTATTCATATGTCGTTAATAGCATTCGATTCTAATGATTTGAAATAATATTTTAATACCAAGCATCCTTTGTTTTATTTACCTTTGAAATTTATTTGAATTTTTTTTTTAGAATTACGCAATCCCCAGAAATAGCGATTTTCGGTATATTAAAAATCAATATACATGTACGCTCCTTCGTAAAATAATCAGATATTTGCATTCATGAAAAAAATATTAATAAGAAGGTGTTAAACAATATAGGTCACATTAGCTGACACGAATGTCTTTTTAAACATCTCTTGTAAAACCCAGAGAGTAGCCCCCTATGCATTGGAAAAAATGAATAGTTCCGGTCAAAAAACCTTTATATATTTATTTACAAAGTATATAAAATTTACCAGGCACAGGTATCAGAGTTGTCAAAATGGCCTGAGAGGAAATATTAAAAAAATTCTAAACAGAAAGGAAAATCCCTTTTCCATGTATGGAACTACTATTGAATAAGTTCATTTTGATTGGTTAGGTATTGGCGTGATACCCTTAGTCGACTTTAACCCTGCCTTGTCGTCGGAATAAAACCAACTTTGAGCCCGAGGTTAAAATAAGTACAGAAATAAAAAGTGAATCGATATATTAAAAGTATGACATATGCTTGAAAAATGGTAAATTTATATATGTATTTTTTTCTTTGATTCGTGGGATAGAAAGATATGTTAATCGCTTAATCAACATGCCATAATCATCTTGCATATGCATGTACATGTACGTGTGCGCGCATGCAAAACGTTAAACAATATATCGTTGATAGTTGATATCATTGTAACTTTTATATTCTTAAATGAAATCTTGGGATACTTAGCATATTTATAAAAGGTCTTAGAGGAATAAGGCACGATAAGGGACATGGGGAGCGTTTGGGGAACATCTGTAACGGTCCCCGTTACAATTAGCACTAGTTATTACTAATTTAGCATTACAGGTTTGAAAAAAGAAGTCTATAATATAGATTCATCAATGTTCACATTACAATTTGGAATCAACATTAAAAGTTTTAAATACATGGAGCAAAAGTGCAACACTGGCAGTGAAATAATGAATTAAATAAAAAAATCTTTTCAACACTTTCATTAAAAATAAAGGAATCATTGAAAAAGTATTTAGATAGGTCAAAAATAAAAAAAACAAAACAATTATACTTAGTATATATTACAATAGGGTATCAGGTTCATTCGCCCGATATACCTGTTCGCAGGAGTCCGTTCGCCCGAAATATTGTTCGCCGAATATTCTGTTCACCCTATATGTGACTCGCCCAATACTTATATATACTTGTATATATATATAATTATATGAATTAAATATTAACATATTCTATTTAATTTCTTTAGGAACTTGGGATTCATTTTTCGTTCAATTTCTAATACGAAGAATAATGTTTATTTAGTCAATTAATTTTTTAATTTGATTCTAACATTTTTTTAAGGCCTTAATGTTTGCATTATACTTAATAAGAATAAGATGATTATCAATATGATCAATATCAATGCTAATTAGGGGGATACATCCGTGTTATAGTTACGAATTGTGTCATGTTTGGAAAACAATTAAAGGACCAAGACGTTAATAGTTCCATTATGGAACTGAACAACTATTTTGTCTCAAATGTACAAAAAATTTGGAAAAATATTTATTAGATAGGGCGAGCGGACCCTGTGCGAACAAGTTTTAGGGCGAGCAGACTCTGGGTGAACAGGAATTAGGGCGAGCAGCATCATGGGCGAACAATTTTTAGGGCGAAATGAACATACAATCCTACAATAGGTGCCTGTTAATACTTAGGGCAAATAATACTGCATGGTATAAACACTGAAAAAATTTGAAAGGTCACACACAAGCTATTTTTCTTCTGATGTAATGTTTTAAATTAAATCACATTGTGTCCTTTTTCTTCTCCTACTTGAGTATCTCTATTTCATTTATCGCTCTCCGTCTTATTTTTTAATTTATAACGCACAATTATCCTTATTAAGTTCCAAACTCAGTGTTCTTTCTGTCCAAATCTCAAAATGTTGTTGACAGTGCAGTGATCATGATGACTTAACGATATAAATTTATACAATTTATAATCCCGTTGTTAATTCAAAATACCCAATATATTTTTTTATGTATTTTTACAGTAGGTGCATTCAAAATCTACCATTTATCCATAATATGAGGGAGAATTCTGCAGCAGATAAACGAATCCATTCAGTGATCAAGTTAATAATTGTAACCGGAAGTAGAAAGAATATGTAAAAGAGAAAAAAAACACAACCGGATATTATTGGATTAAAAAATTAAGGTATTTCAACCCTCAAAACTCATGGGTCCAAAGTACAAGAATCTGCATTTATTTTCACTGACTTCATTTATAATTTCCAAAATATCAGGAATGTAGCTAGCATAATTTTTTCAGACACAAGTTTTACCCTAGAATATATTTACTGATTTCAAGCCCACCCCCTTTTGTTTGTTTGCAACATGTCTCTGGGTTTCAGTGAAAAATTTGGCGCTAAAAGAAGTTGGAACCTACAAACCCCACCCCTCTCCTCTATTTCTCCCACACATATCCCACACGATATAGGATTTACGAGTCTGAACTTTTTAATTTTTTTAAATTTAATATTTATTATTAAATTTTTTGTTTTGCTTGACATTTTTTTCAGGTAAGTTTTTTTTTTCCTCGGGCTGCCCCCTCACTTTCAACGATGCTACGTCACTGAATAAATATGCGTAGGTTTCCATAGTTTTCAGAGTGTAAGAGACAGTAAGACAGTCAGACTTATTTAAACAAAAGTATGTGTAAACTGTCATCGTCGCAAGCCACGGGTTTTGTGTCCAGCCACGTTTTTTTTTTGTCCATTCTATCCCCACAAACCCGCTGTGTGGGAATAGAATGGACACAAAATCCGTGACTCGCGACGATTGTAAATTGTATAATACAAATAATGTAAAATCTGGTTCAAATTCATAATTCTGATGCTGAAAGTCCAAAAACCATTACTTGATAAATCTATTCGAAATATAAATATAATGGAAAAAATTTCATATGAAATAAGTCCAATAAAGAAATTAAATGCCTGAATCCAATCACAACTTCTCGCGCATTGCCGACAAGCGGAAAAATAGCCTTTAGTATATTATGTAGACGTCATGACCCCCCTCCCCCTTTCATAAACTTTCTAAAAACTGATAATTTATTTTAGCGAGAAGTAAGTTTAGCGATTGAAAAATGGTTACTAGATAAGGTATTACATACATAACGCAATTAATATTTAGAGATATTCATTTTTAGCGATCAAAGAAGCCTCGCTAATAATGCCAAAATTAAATCCTCGCTAAAATTTCTACTTACGAGGAGTGATCAAAAAGTTCGCAAACTATCTCTATATCTACAAAACCACAATTCAGATTAGAATGAAATTCGGTACACACATAGCCATACACAAGGTCTATAAATAGCATATGTTGAATAAAGTTTCTCTCCTTGTTTGTGACGTCACAATGTGAAAATGACGCCACTATTTAGGTCACTTGTGACGAAAAATGGTTGTCTCAGTCGAACTCGTTCACCAAACGACTGTACAATTTATTGTAATATCTTAGAAATCCCTCTACAGTATCATATAATAATTTGTACACAGTTTATTGAGATAAATGAGTTCCTATAAATTCAATTAATGATTGGATTAATCGTTTTAGTGAAGGAAGGCTGATGGTTAAAAATGATACTTGTCATCTTGCCCAGTGAAAGCAAGTTTGAAAAGATATGTATTTTTAATTAAAAGCAATTTGCTATCCAAGACCTCCAATGGGTAGCACTTTGAAAAATAGTTGAATATTTGAACAATGATATAAGTATTAAATACCTAAGAAATCGTTTACTTTAGATTTTAAACATATTAGATATGATAAAAAGGATGCACCCATTCTCTATCCACCTTGAATAAAGGTCTCTCCTGAGACAGAAGATTTGTGTTTTAATGGTCGCCATGCTTATTTTTGAAAAGGATGTTATTATCCACCCATTCTGTTGCCGAGATATGACCATTTCTGACAAATTAACTGTTCTTGTCATAAAAATTAACTCACATGGAAAGAAATATAAAACTCGGAAAAATCTTTTAACTTTTGTGACAGAACGCTGCGGAGGGGGTCACGTGACCGCCAATATCACGTGATTCGCGCATGCGCAGAACGGTGGTTGATGTGTATTAAAATTGGGGAGGATTAATTTAAAATATAATCAACATTAAAACCAAATATTGTTTCTTGTATGGAAGTTATTCAATTAGTTTGCGAACTTTTTGATCACCCCTCGTATATGGATATTTTAAAGAACGAAATTTTACGTCCAGGATTGTCAACGGGTGGATGCGGAGCGGGGCGCTCTCCGCTCAAGGGGGAGTCAGATTAAGGCGAGTCATCAACTTCTCAATAAAGAATTGGCAAAAGGATTTTTTTTTAACCTTTTCGATCTTCAATCAATCGATTAAACATTCATTCCATCAAATCAATCATTTCGTAACTTCTATGGTCGTTACAATGACATTGGCAGCAAATACAATTTATCATTAAGTCAACTGCTGAATGACTTTTTTAATACTGATTGTTAGGGCTTTACTAACATACTGAGTTGTCCACGGTTTTTTTTTTTTTTTGCTTTTTTCTCCGAATATGACGAGACGCACATGGCGGGTGATACCGGTCGGCAGGGAATGCTCACTAATCCATGGCATCTGATCCCACCTCTGTTTTTTTAGGTCCGTATTTGCTCTGCTCCAAGTTTGTATTATGAACTTGAATACTGTCCATTATCTCCATATATTTCACTCAATCAGATCAATCATTCAATTACATCATTACTCAGGCGCGGATCTAGAAATTTTTTTAAGGGAGGGGAGTGCATGAAGAGGGATTGAATAAAAAAAGAGTTGTTATAACGTACCTTTACATATATATTAACAACTTAATAGGATAAACATGATAAAGGGAAGTGGTATCGTTTCTAAATGTGGGAGGGTGATCAACATTTGAAAAAATAAAAGTTTTTCGCAAAGAAAGGAAATAAGTCTCCTAACTCGAAAATCCTTTTTTGTGAAGGGGATGGGGTCCATTTTGTTTTCACTATATCGAACTTCTTCATACATAATACTACATAAGCATTTCACTGAACATTTTCTAAAGAAAAACCAAGAAAGATTTGGGAGTCTCTTCTATAATCTCTCTCTCCTTCTCTTTGTCTCTCTCATAGCAAAATATCAAAGGGGTGCAACCCCCGTAACCCCCTCCTCTGGATCCGTCACTGAAATCATTCAATCAAATCAATCAATCAACTAAATGTGGGAGGGTGATCAACATTAGAAAAAAAATATGGATTACCTGTCAGTGAAAGTTTTTCACATAGAAAGGAAATAAGTCATTTAACTCGAAAATCCCCATTTTTTTTTTTGGGTGAAGGGGAGGGGTTCATTTTGTTTTCACTATCGAACTTCATTACTACATTAGCCTTTCATTGAACATTTTCTGTAGTAAAACAAGAAAAATTTGGGAGTCTCTTCTGTAATCTCTCTCTCTCTCTGCATATTAATTCAAAGGGGGTGCAACCCCGGTATACCCCCTCCCTTCTGGATCCGCCACTGAAATCATTCAATCAAATCAATCAATCAATTAATCAACTAAGCCTATCACTGATTCACGATATCAATCAGAGATGCCTTTAGTTTTATTTAAATGGGACTAAATTTTATATGTTGTCATATATTACTCTTTTTAGGTACTTGTTTGTAAAAAATGGGAATTTTGCAATAGCTTTAAAAAAATATTAACATTCACAAAAATGTAGCGAGAAAAAAAAAACAAAAAAAAAACATACCTCCTCTGGAAAAAAGTTCTCAGTGTAAGAGGTTTTTGACATTATATTAGAATTTTTTTGTAATTTCGAATAAGTTTTTCTTAGTTTGGCTCCGTTGCTATAAAATGGTCTCCCTACAGAATGAATGGAATCGTCCAAATGTCAATCACATGCTAATGATACAATTGGAATAAACCTAATTAACTAAATTGATTACATAAATCAAGTCAAATATACTGCCGATAGCGATTGATAGGAAAAACGTTTGACGACCTGTCTAGAAGGTAAACACCCCTAAAGAGGGCGATTCCAAGTCGCTGAGATGTCAACATGGCGGAGGAAAATATGACATCCGCCGTTAGTTCAGAAACAAGTGGGAAAATATTTGAAGATGTGTTTGTCAATGGGTGTACGGATAGCATGGACGATAGTGTTAAAGAATCGGATGATGTTCAGACACCAACCGAGGAAAACCATTCAAATGAACCCACCATGCCACGAAAAAGTAGCTTCATGTGCAAAGATGGGAGCAGAAAACCACCTCGAAAAAAGACCGTATCATTCAGCAGCATGCCTACAGAGCGGAAAATTGCAACAGGTAGATATTTTATCAGGGAGTTAAAAAATATTAACATCAACGTTCGTGTTCTTAAACTATTTTATCTCAATGCATTATATATAATCATGCGTTTTTTTGGGATTTTTTTTTTTTGAAAAATAGAAAATTTCAAGTTACTATGCAGCCACGCCAAAATGAATGCTATCATCTCACGTCATTGTCGGTATATTATCATTTGTTTGAGTAGTGATCTTTATATTACACATAATTCCTAAGGCTATATCATTATACTAAGTATAGAACAATTGGAATTATCTGTATTGAGCTACATGCTATTTGCATGACAGTACAGGACCTGTGAGAATGTCTAAAATACAATCAGATACATGTAGCATTTATATATTTTATGCCCCCTCCCTTCTCTCCAAAAAGAAGAGGAAAAAGAGAAACTTAGGCACACCTTAAATAAATCAGTACTTCATTTGATTTTCATAATTTGCGACCAAAGGAGTGCCCAGCTGCATGTAATATTTGTTAATAATTTTGATCAGGAACATGCTGAGTGTAAAAATAAAGATTGACCCATTAACAAGAACATTCAAGTATACTGTTAACAATATAAAATATTTTCCACTTAATGAGTACTGTCATTGAAATTTATTGAAACAATACCTTTCCTTCCCTTGAGAATTGTAAATTCCACTACTTAATGAGTTCTGTACCGTCATTGAAAAAATACCTCCTGAGAATTGTACAACAATTAGTTTCATTTTAATTCAAAAATTGTAGGAAGTTAAGAGGGAGACTTAACGTTTATAAAACATGAAATTATTAATGCTATGTATGTCGAAAACACATGCAAATTAAGAAACATTTAGACAGTTGGGCTTCACACTTTAAGGAAGCTTCTGAATTCAATTGATATGTGGTAACTATATATTATTTGCTGTTTCATATGTTAACTACTTGATCACTCCCATGTAGTTGGCATGTGTTTCACAGATCTGATTCAACATGTACGAAAAAAAAAAAATCACTTGTAAATTATTCAAGTGATGGCACATTAGTAAGATGATTACTGGTAGATCACAAGGATCATTCACTGGAATGTCTGGAGAAAGTAATTTGCTAAATAACTAAAAAAACTCTTACCTAAAAACTATATTAGATACTTATAAAAAATAAGATGCTTGGATTTGTAATAAACATGATAAAGCTATCCTTTCAAACTATAGTTTACTCTGATTTGTGAGAATACACTAAATGGATAGTGTTTATACATTTGCACACGAACACAGATGAAAATGAAAAATGAGCAAGTATAGTGTGAATGTTTAAATTTTAAATTGTCATTTGTCAACCTAATTTTAATTAAGTCAACGTATAGAAAAATTTATTTGATTATGATAACTATGCTGTAAAAAGTGCTTTTAGGGGTTGTCTTTTTACTTGCTTTGTTGCGTAAGGTGGTTAAATATATGGGGGTAAAATTTATCAGAAGCAAATATTCCTCATCAAAGTAAAACCAGGAAAAAAAGGAAAATATGATTTATGATTTTATTTACAACCTATGTATTTAATATACAGCTACCTACAGGTATTTCCTATATTAGCATGAGTGTTCACTTTGGTGCAAGATATAATTTTTCATTCAATTTTTGAAAAAGCTTAGATTTTAAACAATAAAAAAGGAAAGTCAATGATAATCCATGTTTTTGTTCTCAGTTTACATTTTGAATTGCATACAACATTTAAATGTTAAATTTCCATAAAATCGCATTCATAACTATGCTACGGAAACACATATAGATTTGTCCGTCTAAAGACAATATGATGATGAGAATTTTTATTCAGACTTTTGCTGATGTTGAAATGTTTGCTTTACTAATGGCTTTAGCATCAGAATGAATCAACAATATAAAGGCTTATAGTTTCCTAAAGTAATCGATGCATTTTCAGAGCAGTGCTACACACATAAGAGTACGTATAATTATATATTATTTCAGGCTAATGTCATGGTACTGTCTTTCAAATGACCCAAATAAAGTTGACAACATGTCAACTGGAATTTTCAAAAGTTACAAGGTTTAGTTGTACATGACTCACATTTTTATGTCCATTTTATTTTAGGAAACACAAAAATTAATTGCATATTACAATAATTGAATGTATTAATTGGATTTTTTCATTACAGATGTGACATTTAACTTCTGCAACACACTCTATATATTATGCATACACTTAAATTGATTAGTTGTCAAAGTTATTAAAGCTGAATAAAATTTGCCCCCACCCCCACTTTTATGTAAATTGACTCCTTGCTGTCAAAGCTAGTCATTTTCATATTTCTTCAGAGCTTATTTAGTCTAATGATGGCGATAACCAAGTGCCAAGGTAATCAAGTCCACTGTTGTACTAAGTTGTGGTTAACTTTGCCTTGCTGCTAGAGAAACCACAAGGAAATCTTTTTCGGTATTTAGACCCCCTTTTTGTGGTAAAGCTGTAGGACTTTACAAGATCAGAGTTGATATATATACCAAAAGATGTCACTCCACGACTGAGTTATCATGTTCATGTGACTTGACATCTAAGGCCAAAAAAAATAATAGTCTTGTTTCCTGCTACCAGCCATAAAAAAATAGGGTAGGTAGGTAGGAAAATTATTTTATTTTTTAATTTTATTTTATTTTTCATGATATGACAAATTGAACATGTCATAGCTAAGGTCAATATCATCTTTTAAAATGAAATTCCATGTCTTTGGATGCACAACTCAAGAGGAAATTTATGAAAGTCCACATCTTAAACATATATTTCATGTAATACAACTTGAATATATATATTTTTTTCACTTTTGAAACATGAAATTCCTAAAATTTTTTTTTTTAAAAAAAACTTTAGGGTCGGGTGCAAAAAAAGTTTGATTTTTTATTATTTTTTTTTTACTGATTTGAATTTAAAATGTAATATACATGTTTGTAGGTAGGACTCAAATTCCATGCAATATTTGAAATTGATTTACTAACCTCTATTTAAAAAATCAGTTTTATTAAGTAATTATATAATAATACAGATAGACATTGCATATAAATTTAGATGTGCATGTCACTGAGCTGGCTTAGTTTGAAGTATACACATGCATGCAGATCATGATGGTAGAAATATATCTGTAGACACTTTCATGTAATATCATATGTTAAGATTGTTCTAAACATTGTAGAAGTATCATGAAAATGTTAAAAGTATATTTTTGTGAAGTTGTTAAGTTATAGTGTCAAAAATAATTCATTTCAAGAGAACACATACATTAATCATACTTACCATGTCTTACATGATAATTTACTATATTAAAAGCTTTTCATTATCATAGCCACCATATGATATTTGAATCCATTGAAATGGTAGCCATATAATTTTTCGCCCCCGTTTTATTTTCGCCCCTTTCGCCCTATCCTCCTTTGGGCGAATTTAAGATGGAGCGAATTCAAGAAATACAGTATAACTTCTTAAAAAAAACTATGGCTGCATGGGCGAATTTGGGGTGGGACGAAATTGTTTTCAAGTGTTAAAGGGCGAAAATAAGACGGGGCGAAAATAACCCTGTATACAGTAATTCTAGCTGTTTTCTTTTCATGTAAATTGAATGTTATATTTTATTCATTGATGATGGATTGTTAGATCTATATTTATAGAATTATCTAATGTGACCTTCAGAATTGCACACAAATTGATAAACGTTAAGATGTTCACAAAAATTATCAATGGCACTTAGAGTTATACAATATCTGATTTGGTTGGCTGTATGCACATGCATTATTAATTTAAGTATATAATGTTAGAGTAAGTGCAATTCACACATGAAGGTCTATTAAAGTATATGCTATACCGTAGGTAGTTGGCACTCAGTACATTATATTCTATATATCTAGGAATTAATTTAACCTGGTTCAGTTGCAGCTGTTATTCACACTATATAAAACTATACTAGTTATTTTAATGGACTTTGTACTTACTCATGATAATGTGTCCTTTTTACAAATTTTGCGTTATGTTTTATAATTGCTTGACATGCAATATGTTACTGTTTATCTTTACGAGAGCATGAAATGTACTCTGGCTTATCTAAAACATGTCAGACACTTGTTTTTATTATTCGATCAGTCTTTCTTGCCTTTGTTATATATATGCATCATGATGCTTGTAGAGGAGTTGGACAATGCGATCTCCCCCCCCCCCAAAAAAAAAAATATTACATTTCTGGGCACCATGTTCATATATTCTGCATATTGCTATAGCTTCAATATCTTCCTGTTGCTCCATTTGCATCATCCTCAAACTATATTTTGATGTAAACAGAGTAAAATATGAAAGGCTAATTGTTAGTAAATTTCCTGTTTCCTTTTGTGTCTAATCTGTGTTGAGTAGATTCAGTGCACCAGTACATGCTGCCAGATTGTTTATTCATTTGAATTTTTCAGGGAGGTGGATGGTGGGGGATGCAAGTCTATACTTTAATTTATATTATGTACTCATTTTTTCAAAGATCTTGCATAAAATTTTGCTTGTCATTGTGACATTATCTTGGAATGATTTATTAGAAGGTCATGGCATTTGAGCCCAGGTTTTCCATGATATGCAGTACACTGTAGGTCTGAACTTAAGCAGCAATAAAAGCAAAATAATTTTCCCTTGGTGTTTGAAGTACATGCATGTTCACCAAAAACTCTTTGCCTAGTTAATGAAGCCTAGTTTCAATTTAAAACAGCATTTAAAAAAAAAAACCTGACTTTTTAAAAAACTTATTATTCTTGAAAATTTTCTATTTGACCAGGGCTCAAATTAGTCTGGAAGAAGGCATGTTCTGTGGTGGAATTTTAAAATGACCTCTGTAAATCTTTAAATTTATAATAACTGATAAATTATCAAGAAATAGTGAAGGTCATGGGAATGATCAAGTTCATACAATGACAAAGTTGTGAAAAAACATGAATTTGCAAGAAGATTCATAAGGATACGTGTATCAAGATCAGTTATCTTAAAATTGTGATAAATGGTAAATGACAAATAGTGGGGTCAAGATCCTAGGGATTAGGCTGGTGTCAGAAAATGACACCAGTTTAAAAGTCCTCACCTACAATATGAGTCTGTTAACATGGTTAATGAAGTTTTGAAGAAATATTATCATGATTGTTAATATTTTCTTCTTATGTTCCAAATGCAAAGCAAGTAATAGTGAGGTCAAGGTCATAGGAAGGTCAAGGTCAAAACATCATTACATAGTTGAATTATAACCTCCTACCAATATATACATGTATCACCATATAAGTTGATAAAAAATCTTGAATATAGTTGCAGTCTGTACTTTGAAACTACATGAGCTAACAGCCAAACACAAAATACGGAATAGAGAAGTCAAGGTCACAGGAAAGATCAAGACCAGAAAATTATTCCACAATTTAATATCTCAGGAATTTTTATTGATTTATGAACTTTGGTTTTATGTATCTTGAACGTGCAGTTTCTTTCAAACTAAACTGTAATAATGCAGAGTTTGTCATGGACATACAGAAGGTCAGAAGTATGGAAAGAAGGAAGATGGCCATCATCATGACAAACACTAACTTATATTATGACTCGGCCATATTCCTGATGGGGCTTTAAAATATTTAAAATGTATTAATTTTCATTTTCAAAGTTATTCCGTCAAAGCATGATGGCATTCTCTTTGATGTAATGTACCCAGAATGTAATTATTAGTCTAAAAGCCCATTATTAGCATTTCTTAGCAGAGCCTGTACCATACATACGCCGGGCAAGAAACTAATGTGTCTAACTAGACTCCGTAATATGTAGAAAATAAACATTATACTCCGGAGGAGCCATCGAAGCAGACTGGGGCTTATTTTTGGAAACATCTCAAGACATTTGATCTATATATGTAGATCTGTAGGTAGTGAAATGGGAGGAAAGCTTGACTTTCAGGGTTATTGGGAAACAAGATATTTACCACATTGATTTTAGGTTAATTTCTATCAAGGCATTGCGTTTCTGTGTATAATACATATGTAAATGCAGTAGATTTGAGCCTGGATATTACATGAATGATATCAGTATTTAGTATGTATGAGAGTTCTGTATTAAATCTTTCAGAGAAAAAATTGCTTACGCAGATGGAAATCAGTTATTTAAGGTTGTCATCTAGTACCGAATGATTGGTCCAATGTTGAAATGAGGAAGTCTGACTCACCTTATATAGTACATTTAGAAAAATATGCTATATTGTAAACTAAAGTACATGTACTGGTATATAAAATGTAGTGTGGGATTTTTATTTTTTATTTCCAAGTTCTCTTTTAATCTTGTTTATTATATAATTAGTTATTGACAGAATACAGGAACTAAGCTATAGATAAATAAAATATTAGTAATTTTAAGTTTTATTTCCAGGCTTCCAACATATAAAAATAACACCCACTTACACTACCTGATAATTAAAAGCCTATTTTTAATTTTAACATGTTTTACTTAAATAAGTGGTTCAACTAATTAACCCAGTATTGAGAGTTTGCATATTTATTTGTCATCCTATTGTTCCTGTTTTTTGGCCTGTACTTAAATTTTGTTCCTCCCTTGTATTCAATAACCAGCTAGCCCAGTAACATACTCGTAGGGGGAGATAATTCGCTTCCCGCTGGGGTTTGGTTCAAAAACAAGTTGTAAAATTAAAGAAATGATTATATTTTTTGGTGAAAATCAAGTTTACTGTCTTTGCACTAGAAGTTGAACCCCCAGATTTCTCAGACAGAGTTATTTATACAAGTAATGGTGTTAAAAGTGCAGACAGATTGTTATTTATTTTGGTAGCTAGATGCTGACTCGAGAGTAATTGATCATGATTGAAGGTGATTTTTGGTGTCGTAAGTGAACCAACCTTTTGTTGTTTTTTGCAGCTCAAGACTGTCTCCAATGTATGCAGAGCGGCAGCGAATTAATAAAAGTCCGGTCCAACAGTCGTCAGTACCATCGTATATTTACACTCAACCCCGACATGACAGAAATCCGTTGGCAGCCAACATCCAAAAAACCCCATAAAGCCCGAAGTAAGTGAACAGATGACATTAAATTAAATGTAACAGAAAACCTCAAAATGCTTTAAAAATGCTATAGAAAGCCCCCCAACCCATATTTTCTTGTCCATATGTATAGGCATATATGAGATGTTTTACTTGCAATTGCTGACTTTGAAATCAGTCCAATTAAGCAATTTCTTTAACTTGAGAATTTTGCCATTTTGCCGTCGGAGGTTGACGCTGCATTTTCATTTTTGCATTTTCAAATAACATATGCTATATTGAAGGTTACAAGAGGGTGTAAATATTGTCTGATTCTATTTCATTGAATTGCAAAATTCTGTCGATATCACGAAAACCACGGAAATAGCCGCTCTATGATATATTCATTACTGAATGTGCCAAAAGGAGAGAGAGAGTATATTAACTGAATGTTCAGAATTACACGGAAAATCCATATGTATAATTATAAACAATTTTCTTCTAATTTATCCTCAGGCAGACTTCTTTTTGAATAATCTTCATTTTGATTATACAGATTTCAGAAATAAACCCTTTTAAGATGCTGTTCTCCTTTAATTAAATTCATTTAATCTGCAGAACACATTACATTTCTCATCACTATACATGCATTTAGCATATGGACCTATTGGTCAATTTGAGTGTCCAGCAGTAAGAAAAGGCAGTATCGGATATTGATTAAACAATTGGACTTTATAGTTGTATTGGACAGTTAGCATGTTTAACATCATTGAGGTTGACAGAACTTTCTCATTACCATGGCCACTTATTTGTTAGGGGCTGTAGATGCACACAATGAGTCCTACAAGTTATAAATGTTCTGAAGCTCCAAGCTAGCACTACAAGCTCTTAAGAATTTAATACAGAGGCTCTATTAATGTAATTATTTATTAAAGTCAGAATTGTTAAGTGTAATACCTAATTAGCTAAATGTCCATATATAGCTGCAACAAAAAATAAGTTGTGAAAAAGTGCCCTCATCTTCCTATACATTTTCAGATCAGAGCTGCAACACTGATATTTATAAAAATGTATGTAGCATATGTTTTTGAACTTTCAATTTGGCCAACTGATTGAAAAATCTTTGGTGGGGTGAACAATGTTCAGGATGCTGAAAGAAAATTATCCCTCCATCCAATGTAGTGTTGTGCAAGTATCACTTTCTAGCATTTAGATAGAGTAATCATTTCTCAATCAGGTCATTTGGCCAACTTATATGTAGTTTTATGGCAACTTAATGAAAGTTTGAGTGGTAATGGTAAGTGGACATGTATGGCAGCTCTCTCTCTCTCTCTTTCTTTCTTTCTCTCTCATCTTAAGTCAAATAGTCTGATTACATGACAAGGAAACTGCTGCATTGCAAGAAATTCAGACTGAGTTTTTTATGCCCCACCATGAATATGGTAGAGGCATATAATTATTGTCATGTCCATCTTCCATTTTCCATCCTTCTTTTTGTCCTTTCATCGTACTTTGCATTAATATAAACTATTCAAGATATTTTTATCAAAGTTTGTATGACATACATTCTGATGAGAAATACTATATAAGGTATTATAAATTTATCAAAGCTGTTCTGATATATACTTGATTTTTCCTGTTTTATATGTAACAAGGTGGATGTATCTTTGCTATTGACTTTAGATAAGCTGCTCAATCAACCGGAGAAAAATATTTTGCAGATATCCAAAAGATCATTAGATGTACATTCTGAAAGAAAACCTATCTTTTATTCAAAGTATAATTTTTGTATTAATCAGAAGATTGCTCAATAAATTTGTAAATAATCTGAACTTGAGTGAGCAAAAGTGTCCTGAAATGACCCTGTTAATGTAGTGATTGTATATCTGTAGACTGTATGGTGCTGGTATTTGGTTTTTTAATCCCACATTAACACAGTACTTCACATTCATTTTACATGTCAAAGACCAGCCATAATTTAATCTCTTTAATCATTATGTCTACAAAATTAATATGCTTATCTCATTAGGAATTACACATAACATGTACAAGGTTGCATATAATAATATTTTTCTGTGTATATGTGTGGTTTTATCAAGAGATGTTTTAAAATTAGCAGTATTAGAGATGGGACCGTCTCTGGAGAACTTGTTCGGACAGAGAGACCATTATGAGGAAATGATTGAAAACCTTAATTTCCTATCTTAATTATCTGTTAAAGATGACATCAAAGGCTTACAATACATAAGCTCTCTGCCTTAGTGAGGTGTGTTATCAGAGCTTGGTTTACAGATAGTTATTATTTCAGCTGCCGAGGTGGAGAATCCAAGAGATTTCAGTCAGCTCATGCAGCAAATATCCTGTATGATATCCCCCCTTTGTTTATGAAGGCAATCGTAATTAACTCGTAATGCAGAAGATAGCTATAATATCCCAGACTGACTGTCACAAGTTTATGGTTTAGGGGTTTGACTGCAGATAGGCATCAAATATTTATGCTGTCAAATTAGATTATACTGTCTTCATATCAACAGCTTGCATCATTGGAGACATTAGAAAAGTACATTAATTTTGTTAATTTGATTCAGTGCATTGATGCATCATTTGGGTTCTGTGTCATATAAGACAAAAAGTGCATTAGTTCACCTGCACAGCAATAGGTTGCATGGCTTGCATACAGATTTAACTGTCAAGAGATTAGTTCAGCAAAAAGATTTGTGCCATAAATATTTTGTAGAGATTAATTTGCAGATATCTTTTATTTTTTCCTTATTAAGTGTAACTATTTCCAGACCTATATTTTTGGAGCTACTCTTTATTAAAAATTGACATATTGTATCTGAAAACCTAAAGTCAACTTTAAAAAGTTTTGCTTGGGTGCCGTCTTCCAATTCAACTTGAAAAAAATGGTGTCAGTAGTAGGTAGGGGATTTTTCCCCAGAAAATTTCATTTCAATGCTGAAAATTTCAAATGTCATATTCAGCAATGCATAGAATCTGTATTTGTTCCCTAAAATGATTTCAGTTGGCTACTAGACCCGATTTTTAGCCAGTTTTTTGGGAGAGGGAAATCATCAAAAAATCATTTGCCATAGATTACTATATCTTAAAAACAGTTAAAATTTCTGTAGTAGTTAATCATTTTATTTACTGGTGATTACATAGATATATCTATACCTAAATTTTTTTTTGCTTGTAGTATCCATTGCTTCCATAAAAGAAGTCCGAGGTGGTAAAACCACAGAAGCCCTGAAGAACAAGGAAATAGCAGGGATTTACCAAGATGAGTGTGCTTTCTCCATTATCTTTGGTGAGGACTTTGAATCCATGGATCTCATTGCTAATACTCCAGATGAAGCCAATATATGGATTACTGGACTCACATGTCTCATCAACACAAGTGCCAAAACTGGAACACGTAAGGCCCCAGTGTCAATTTTACCAGAAGTAGTTGGGGGAAAAGTTTTTGTATTTTTGTATATTTATATTTTATTTGCATATTTATATTTTAGAAGATCGTTATAATTTAGAGATACCTTTTTGCATTTTGTCCTAATTTGTAGGATTTATATATATATACATTACGCTATTTTTGTCTCAGTTAAGGTAACATGTCTACCCAAAACATCATTTTGTATAATTTTTCACAAGATACATGTATACAATTTACCTTGATATAAGCAGTGAAAAAAGGTCACTAAAAATTGCATAATGTAGAGACTTAAATGCAGGCATTATGGTAATTGCATATACATGTATAAATACTGGTACGATATATTTCATTACAAAGATATTACATTGAGAAATAACATTTCTAGTAAATTTAGATGCCCATGCAGTCCCGAAATCAGCTTGTATTAAGAGATGAGGAAAAGGCCATTTTAGATTTGGAAATCATGTACATTTTATGGTTTTATAGTCCCCGGCTATTATGCTCCCAAACCAAATTCCAATACAAAAAAAAAAAAGTTCAATACTGCTTCATGGACCTAGTCTTATCTGGGATTCAGAAGCAGTGCTGGTCTCCATCGACTCTTGGTCTTTTTGGATGTTTTAATTGCTTCTGAAGATGCTCTGAGGATCTCTAGTGTAAACACTGGTGTGTGAGCACAATGTTTACTTTCTGTCGGATGATAAAATATGAGTATATGACTACATGAGATAAGCTGGCCGGGACAGTCAACTACTGACAGGCCTGGCTGATTCATTTCCTCTTGACAAAGTCATAAGTTTCCAGGATGATAATTGTTAGTTTCCTTTATTGAGGTATAAACAAACCACGGCTTGCTCTCGTAACAATGTGCAGTTTTATTATAAAGAGCTGCGCGCCCAACTGCTGGTCGTTCACACAATTATTTTGTTGTTGTTTGTATAATATAAATATAATGATTATGTATAAAACTTAAAGACTTGATATTTAGATCAAAATAGTTATAATATGCCTGGGTCTAAGCAGTACCATTATGGTAGTACTCAAGATAAGGGAACTAAATTAAAAATGTGTTCCCACATGTATATATCATTTTTAATTGTCACATTAAGTGCATCCATCTTGCAGAATTTTGTAAAAAACTTTGACTTTACAAGGTTAATTTCACAATGATATAGCAATAGTCAATAGAGCTTTTACTTATACGAGTTCAACAAATAGGTGACAGAGTTGTTTATTTCATTTCTAAATGTAGCTATTTAAAATTGAATGTATGTTTGATAATTGGAGAGGAAAATTTAACTTCAGTCATCTGTGTATTATAGCGACCATTTGTCTCATTAAGTGAGAAGACGATATAGATCTTCAGTCCATCTTTGCCTGCAGGGATAAATTTTTCATTATTTGTGAATCAGCTAAGCATACATACAACTAGAAGGCACAACAATTGAAATTAATTTTTTTCTTTTTATCTTTCCAGCCCCTGAAGCCATTGAAGAAATGCAACAAATGAGAGATTCATATCCTTTGTTAGTGTTCATTTATTTTTATGTATTAGGTACCTTTCATGTTATATTTCAAACAAAGTTACATGGACATAGAGGTATAGATATTTATAGTGCATTTCCTCAAATATGTTCAAAGTATGTTCCTGTAAATATAATTACACTTCCTCTTTGATACGACACTGGTCGTAAACATAAAAAAATATCAGTCAGTAAAAAAACATATAATGATAAAAAAGCAAACAAAGTTACAAGAAAATCCATGTTCAGGTGATATGCTGATGCTGTTTGCTCAGCTATGGATCACGTCGTGTGATTAACTTGTATATCATGGATCCATTGGGGAACTGTTTGGGTATAAAACTGTCATATGCCAATGAACTGCCAAGATAGCATCATCTAAGACATTGAACTGGATGAGGCAGCATTTTCTTTCAGTATAAATACCAAAAATAAAAAAAGGGTTTGTTTAGAATATTGAAAGACGAAAACACAACTGTATAGCTAATGCATTTCTCAGGTGATGATTTTTTGGAGCAATTTATTCTGAATTTCCAACATACCTTTGCCAACATCTTTAATGTGTTTTATTATTTTTGCTAATGTATATTATGATTTTACTGGGAATAGTAAGTGCATGTCTCAATTTTTTCCCTTTGCCCGATTTAATGAAGCTTTGATCATAGGATGTTTATAAGAAGATTTTAAAATGGCTGTGGATAGCTATTAATTTTGAGCTGCTTGTACTTAAACTATGAAAGCTGAATAAGTACATGTAAAAACTGCATTTTCTTTTTTGTTAGGATTAAAAAAAAAGTCAAAATTGCAGATTTCAAGGACATTAAATCTGACTATGGGAGAGAATACAAAATATTTTGTTTATCAATTTTTCCTAGCTCACCTGAGCTAAAAGCTTAACAAGCTTCCTTATCACATTTTGTCTGGCATTCAGCTGTCCATCTGTATAGACTTTTCACATTTTCAACTCCTTCTCAAGAACTACATGTCCAATTTGGACCAAACTTTCAACAATGCATCCTTTATTTGAGTTATGTGTTAATGAGATTGAGGGCCATATTCTTTCAAGGGGAGATAATTAAGAATTACCCCGGTAGTAAAAATTTACTATCATCTTGCAGTAATCTTACAAGAACCACTGGGCCAGAAAAGTTGAGACTTTAGTGAAAGCTTCATGACATATGGTTAGAAAATGTTTGTTCAAAATACTGTATAAGTGGAAATTTTAGCGAGACGCAAATTTAGCGATTTGTTCTTAAAAACTGGTAATTTAATTTTAGCGAGATGTTATTTTAGCGATTTAAAATGCACACTCAAGGAGCTTTTACAAATAAAACGCAATTAATTTTTAGCAATATCCAATTTTAGCGATCTCGGCACCCTCGCTAATAATGCCAAAATTAAATCCTCGCTAAAAATTCTACTTATACGGTATATATATTTAACCTCTGGATACGTGATCAAATTATTACATAATGAAAAGAAAAATAATATCTTTAAAAAATCTTTCTTCTCACACATACCGGTAGTTGATCAAAAGATTTCCATAGGATTATTTTGCTCATCACAAGAACAACTAGTGCTAATTGTAACGGGAACCGTTACAGATGTTCCCCAAACGCTCCCCAACTCCCTTTTGGTGCCATATTCCCTGTAAGCTTCATTAAATAAGACAAACTCTGTGCATTTTTTACTTTAACAACGTTTTCCCAAAAGGATACCAATTATATTCATATTTTAGCATTGCACCCAAGCGCATGTACGTGAATGCATGTGCGTTATGACCATATCATCTTGTCTACACTATCTATATATTTTAATATACTATATATTAAAGCATTCAGTCCAAAAGAAATAAAAATCACTCATTCAAGTGTATTTTTAATTATACTCGTTCTAAATGCACGCACGTGCGTGCACGTGCATGATGACCATACCTTCTTGTAGGAGTCCTTTACATCTATCTCTGTTCTAAATCCCATCCGGTTTGGTTGAAAAACAAGAGAGTTATAGCCATTTCAAGTTTCAGCCAATCAGATTGCAGCACACGTGCATACGTGTGATTTCATGAATATTTTTCTATACCATATTGTAGGTTATCCTAATGCATGACTATATTTTAAATTTCAAAGAATTTCGTCAAAAAACAAAGGATATATAGCCATTTAAAGTTTCAGCCAATCAGATTACAGCACGCGCACATGCGCATGCTTTCATGAAAATTCTTTTATATCATGCTGTGGATATTCATAATGTAGGACTATGTTCAAAATTTCAAAGGATTATGACAAGAAACAAGAAAGATATTGAGACTTTAGTTTCAGCCAATCAGAGCGAAACGCACGTGCATGCGCGTGAGATCTTGCTATTTTGACCATGCTATCTTGTCTATACTTCTAATGTATCCTTACATTATGAGTTTCAAAAAATTTCATCAAAAAATAGAAAAGTTACTACAATATCCATTATATTGGTCATTTCACGTGTTGCACGTGCACGCTCTTGCAAGCACGTGCGCGCAAAATGACCTTGATTCCGCAAATCTACATAACATGTCTACTGACCCTAAAAAGGTTTTACCTACATCGGACGAACAGTTTACAAGATCACTCCCGGACAAAAAAGTACCCAGGAAGAAGAAGAAGAAGAAAAATAATAATAACTAGAGCAAAGCTCGTTGCAAAGCAACGAGTAGGTCTTCCGTCCTGTTTGACCGGAAGTAGCTTTCATTTTTAACCAAACATAAGAAATAACGCCTAAAAATGGTTTGAATCATCTAAAGCTATATTGATTTATGCAGAAATAAGCAATTTTTGCTACTTCCGGTTAAACCGGAAGTGGCAACGACGGAGGGAAAATTAAGTGTTAGGCTTCCAGTGACATATGTTACCCCAAAACTTGTCAAGAATGTCAAAAATACGTGTTCTTCGACTACTTCCGGTTTGGCCGGAAGTGACAACGCCGGCGGAAGTGGCAACGACGGAGGGAAAATTAAGTTTTAGGCTTCCAGTGACATATGTTACCCCAAAACTTGTCAAGAATGGCAAAAATACGCGTTTTTCGACTACTTCCGGTTTGGCCGGAAGTGACGACGCCGGACGTATTTTTACGACTTCAATAGATTAATTTTGACATTTTGAACAACTTTGCTTCTTTGAAGTATTACAAATTCTCAATACTTTTTGAGATATAAACGAAAAACTTTCGGCCCCCTTTGGCCCCTAATTTTTGGGGCCAGCCCTTTTTTCGAGATATCATTTGAAAGATCTTCAAATTCTACACTTCTTTTGTTCTTCATGCTTTTACAAAATATTTCTAGGTAAAAAGTTATCGTTGAAAAGGTGTTTAAATTTTTGAAATTCTTGATAGGACTGTTTTCGTACCATAGCCAGCGTCGGCGCTTCGTACTTCCGGTGGTTGAGATATACCAAATACATATCTCCAAAGGTTGCTCTTTCAGCACTGAAAATTTCATGCTTCTGCGTTAAGTGCTTTTTGAGAAAACTGCCGGACAAAATGACCCTCTAAAACTCACTAAATCGCGAAAAACTCCGAACCGGAAGTGACGTCATCAAATTAAAAAAAAACGCCTTAAGTTCATATCATTTGACATCAATGCTGAAAGTTTCATGAAAATCCATCGACGCATTTACGAGAAATCGCGTGCACAAAATCGGTAAGAATAATAATAATAAGAAAAGTTGAAAAGAAACAACAGAAAAATAAGAAGGTCTTCCGTTGAAACGGAAGACCTTAATAAGAAACAGAGTAAAAACAATATGTTCCCCAACTTCGTTTGGGGAACATAATAAAACCATGATGAGTCGTATATATTGAAGGATCCTCTGGTAGTGTAGGGTATTGGCTGTTGCATCATGACCCCTGGGTATGATGAGGCCACAATAGGCGATCATATTTTATATAAGAAAATACAGGGGTATAAGAACAGTATATATGTGAGTTTTACTTTTACATGTGAGGATTGTGGCCCATATGGGCCTCTTATTTTCCCTTTGAACACTAACACAAAAAAAATTAAAACTTTTGATACATCCTTTCAAACTGGAATGTCATAAATATATACCTTAAACTAAGTCATAAGAGCTTTTAACTACATTTGACAAGGCTGTTAAAGGAATTAAAAAATATATATGCTCAAAGAAAATTAGTTTGTTGTACCGGTATTGTAAAACTTATTTATTCAATTATAATGTTTTAATGTGTTCTAGTAATTACCAGTGACATGTTTTATCAGAAATGTCAATGACTTAATTTTTTTTTCAAAAAGTGATAATCATCAAAAAAGGATTTTCAATTCAAGAGAATTCAAGCCTGAATAATTTGATCTTTCAGTTACATGTTTGTGATATCCAACTTTTATTTTATTAGATAAAATCAATGTTGATGTGCATGTTTTCAGATATTGTTACATGTATCATGGTATTAATGTACTGAAAGAAAAATAAGACCTTAACTCACTAATCACATGGCTACAGGAAATGTTTGAAACGGAGGCTAGCCAATCAGCTGGGACTCTGGACGAGAAGGGTGTGGTCAACTTAGTCGCCAAACTCAATAGCAATATCGCCACAGCTAGAGTCCAACAAAAAGTCAAGGTAGGTACCTCATAGAACAAGATGTGTTTGTGAAACACTATGCACCCCGTGAAACAAAATTTTAAGAAAGCTATTTTTAGCATATATGTCACAGTCAAGGTCACAAGGCCATTGACCTTGGTGTCATTTGAAAAAACTTGATTAGTAAAGTATGGATACCAAATATAAGTCTCTATCTCTTATGGTTCAAAAGTTATGGCAAAGGTATGAAAAAACTATTTTTAGCACACAGGTCACAGTCAAGGTCACAAGGTCATTGGCCTTGGTGTCATTTGAAAGAGCTTAATTGGTGGAGTATGCATGGCAAATATGAAGTCTCTATCTATCATGGTTCAAAAGTTATGGCGAAGGTTAAAGTTTGCAGATAAAAAGCTATTTTTAGCATATACAGCCTACTCAGGATATATTGAAATTCAGGGGACCATGCAAATTATTTCAATATATACGTAATTCAATATAAGCGAAATTGCGAAGCCGCCATTTTGAAAAGTTCGACCCCGATCGAAAATAAAGAAGAACAAGCCCGAACAAATTAATTTGGTCAACCGAACAAATTAATTTGTTAAATCTTTAGTGGTGAACAGATTACATGGAATATTAGTCTTTGATAAATTTATTTCTTTTTGTTGCATTTAAAAGACAATCTTAAACCTCATTATAAAATTCCCCGATCGCATTCTTTTGCGTTTTGAGGAAAAATCAGCGGACTCAAACGGTTCAATTACAGCTGAACGCTGCTTAGCTTCTCGAATTTATGCTTATCAATAGCCATAAATAGTTCGTATTTAACTTCAAAGTTTAGGATTCTCTTTTTCTGTGGGGTACCTTTATTAAGGTATGTTTAGCCTCAATATGTCCGTATACGTGAAAACAAAGAATTTAACAGTTAATAATTTTAATTTGTAAAAGCAGTATTAAAAACACTTTTGGTGAAAACTTATTAATTCACACCTTTGTATATCAGTCGGTCATTCAGGCATAATTACTGTCACCAACCGTAACGACGGCCGCCAGGGAGTACTTCAGTATAACCGTTATCAAAGCAACTCATTATCACCTCTGGGGACTGATCAGTGGCTTCAATATACGCGATATTTCAATATATCCGATTTCAATATAACCGTTATTTAAATGCAAAGAATATGAAAGACTAAAACTGGGGATTTATTTTTATTTCAATATAAGCGGAATTTCCAAATAAGTGATTTCAATATAAGTGGAGTAAGCTGTAGGTCACAGTCAAGGTCACAAGGCCATTGACCTTGGTGTCATTTGAAAGAACTAAATAAGTGGAGTATGCATACCAAATATGAAATCTCAGTCTTTCATAGTTCAAAAGTTATGGCGAAGGTTCAAGTTTGCAGACAAACAAACAAACAAACAAACAGACAGACAGGACAAAACAATATACACCCCGGATCTATCAATCCGGGCGCATAAAAACTAATACAGTCAAACTTCATTGTCTTATAACTTATAAAAACCTCTAGAAATCCAGTTTTTGAGATACCGGTATTAAGCTTGTATATATGGGTAAAAGTTGCTGAGTCATACGTCAACATGGCCATGACATTATAGTTGTACACGACCATAAACTTTGAATGGATTTAAGTCAAAATGACTCCATATGAAGATGATGTATTGCTTCTAATACATTCTTGAGATAATGCTATCCAAATTTTATGTTTAATTGTTTAGAAATAAAACTGTGGGCAAAAAAAATCTACAATGCCAATCTTCTCTGCATAAGGAGAAACCAGACCATGACCTCTGACCTCATGACCTTTGTCCTTGAAGTACACGTATGACCTACTTTTGAAGAACTTTAATCTTAGTCGTATTTTTGAGTGGTCCCTACCAGGGCTTTTATATATTGTTTGTATCTTTGGTAGAGGCTTTTTGGGAATCATTGTTTTTAACTGAGTGACCCTGACCTTGGAGAATGACCTACAATGCAAAACTTTAACCCTTGACTAAATAATTGCAACTTTTGATTTTAGATTTCTTAATGTTTATTTCTTATGAAAAGATCTTTCTTTAGGTACCAATTGCAACATTCTGACCTCTTGACCTTGAAGTCTGACCTATATTATAAAGTAGTAAACCTTGCTATGGCCTTGAGGTGCCATACAAGAGATCAGTGTTTGACAAACACATCTTGTGATGAGTTGTTCTATTGTGAAAACAAAGGCTTTTGCAAGAAAATGTGATAGAACTGAACAAAGACACCTCTATAAACATGATAAATTTGTAAAGCCACTGGTGATATTGTTGTGGGAAGAGAAAAAAACACAGTCACTGAGGGTATTCTATGTCTGTGCATTAGGTAATGTTATTTAAAGATGTGTCTCTTCATGAGGAGAGTTGCTCTGTGATTTGTTTTATCTGGTATGTCCATTTTAGAGGGACAAGGAAGAATTTTAAGACTGCTGATTTTTATCGAGTTATAACTGTGGCATTCCATGGGGGTCTCATCGAAATTTTATATTCTGAATTTTTTCTGAGACAGGGTGTTTTTGGATAAAAATCTTCAATAGTAGAAATTTCACGACCTAATGATTAGATAAATTTTTCTTTCCACCAGTAACCTTGTGTAGAATTAAACAAGATGTGTTTGTTAAACACTATGCGCTCGGTGGCAACAAAATTCAAAAAAACTATTTTTAGCATATAGGTAACAGTCAAGGTAACAATGTCATTGACCTTGGTGTCATTTGAAAGAACTCAATTAGTGGAGTATGCATACCAAATAAGAAGTCTCTATCTCTCATGCTATAAAAGTTATGGTGAAGGTTCAAAAAAGCTATTTTTAGCATATATGTCACAGTCAAGGTCACCAGGTCATTGACCTTGGTGTCATTTGAAAGAGCTTTATTAGTGGAGTATGCATACCAAATATTTAGTCTCTCAGTCTTTCATGGTTCAAAAGGTATAGCAAAGGTTAAAGTTTGCAGACAAAAAAGATATTTTTAGCATATATGTCACAGTCAAGGTCATAAGGTCATTCACCTTGGTGTCATTTGAAAGAGCTTTATTGGAGGAGTATGCATACCAAATATGATGTCTCTATTTATCATGGTTCAAAAAGTATGGCGAAGGTTAAAGTTTGCAGACAAACAGACAAACAAACAGACAGACAGGACAAAAACAAGATACACCCCGGATCTATCGATCCGCGCACATAAAAAGGTTAATGATTCGGAGTTTTATATGTTGTTAATTGTATCTCAAATCAGGGAGGACCAAGTTAATCTATTGATTTTTCAGTGTGAAAGGCTCAGGTTCTTGACTTGTTACAAAATTTATTACTGTTATTTGTGGCAGTTAAGACAAATTAAAAAAGGTTAACTAGTGCTAATTGTAATGGAGACCATTACAGATGTTCCCCAAACGCTCCCCCATGTCCCTTTTCGTGCCTTATTCCTCAAAGACCTTTTATAAATATGCTAAGTATCCAAGGATTTCATTTAAGAATATAAAAGTTACAATTATATCAACTATATATCGTTTAACGTTTTGCATGCGCGCACGCGTACATGTACATGCATACATGTATGCAAGATAATTATGGCATGTTGGTTAAGCGATTAACATATCTTTCTATCCCGCGAATCAAAGAAAAAATACATCTATAAAGCTATCATTTTTCAAGCATATGTCATTTTTTAATATATCGATTCACATTTTATTTCTCTACTTATTTTAACCTCGGGCTCAAAGTTGCTTTTATTCCGACGACAAGGCAGGGTTAAAGTCGACTAAGGGTATCACACCGATTGCTAACCAATCAAAATGAACTTATTCAATAGTAGTTCCATACATGGAAAAGGGATTTTCCTTTCTGTTCAGATTTTTTTTTTACATTTCCTCTCAGGCCATTTTGACAACTCTGGTACCTGTGCCTAGTAAATTTTATATACTTTGTAAATAAATATATAAATGTTTTTGACCGGAACTATTCATTTTTTCCAATGCATAGGGGGCTACTTTCTTGGGTTTACAAGAGATGTTTAAAAAGACATTCGTGTCAGCTAATGAGACCAATATTGTTTAACACCTTCTTATTAATATTTTTTCATGAATGCAAATACCTGATTATTTTACGAAGGAGCGTACATGTATATTGATTTTTAATATACCAAAAATCGCTATTTCTGGGGATTGCGTAATTCTAAAAAAAAAATCAAATAAATTTCAAAGGTAAAATAAACAAAGGATGCTTGGTATTAAAATATTATATCAAATCAGTAGAATTGAATGCTATTAACAACATCTGAATAAATAGGCTATAAAAGGCTTATATACCAACTTTGTTCATCTGCACTTTAATTTTAAACACGACAGGATTTGTAATTTTTTCCGTATAAATTAATAATTTCTATATACTTTGGAAACTCAAATCAAATATTTTAATACAATTTCCTTGAGCTCTTTTCTGCAGTTTTCCTGAAATTTTTTGTGGGTCCGAGGTGTTATTTGAGTTTACCAGCGATTCTCTATGTTGCCATTATATTGATTTGTTTGGATGTTGCAGGGGGAGGGGGGGGGGTATTTTTATTCTTAACCTATTTAACGTTGGAGTTGAATCTTGTATCTTACTCCAAGAACTTAAGATTGATTGTGACATTTAGATGTAAGGTCAAGGTCATTTAAAACCACCACCTCTTTAACTTCTATCCTGCCAACGGAAATAAACTCTAAAAGATGTTTCTAGATACATGTACATGTATTTTAGGTTCCTTTTTACCCTTGGGTCAAGGACAAAGGTTAAGGTCGATTTCAAGTTCATAGGTCAAGGTGATTTTGGTAAATAGCTAATGTCAACATTTTATTCAGGTTACCAGTGACCTTGACCTAAGTTTCAAGGTCAATAGTCAAAAGATCTACATGCTTCAGTATGTAACTTGTCTTGACATTTAGAAGTTCTTAATTCTGCATGAACATCAAAAACTCAATTATACTGTCGTTTAATGCATTGTGTGCGGGCGCATGTGCATGCA